TTAAATTTGCATATAGAAAATTCACCAACTTGTAGGATAGAATTATCACAATGCAGGCGTTCATCGGGCTAAAAAAGCATGCATGTAAGTACATAGTTTATATATCAATGAGGTCATCGATTGCCTCCAACCCGCGAATATATCTTTAAATTTCATTCACCAACATCTCAAAAACAACGCAAATCCATGTATTTGCTCAATTGCGCTGTGTCAAAAATCATTTGCATAACTCTGAAAACTGTTTTTGAGGATTTTCGGTTTTCATAACAACTGAATGGAAAATAGATGCCGAGTTGTCTTAAAATGTTGCGTAAACGTGATCGGTCGTAACGCTTGTGCGCTTGCGTGATTTACAGAGTAAACAAAGGTGATGGGAAGGTGCCTTCTCAATAATTTTCGTGGAAATATCAGGTCATGAACTACGCAGAGCGTGGAGAAGATCAAAATGAAAGAATAAAATTTGACACTCTGGTCATTGCAGACATTGCGTAACTTAAAAGGACACATAAAAAAGTTGAAATACGTTACAATGTTATTTACAAAACAACGCGCCTACGCTCAAAAAGAATTCTTGCAGTTTCTCCGAGATTTAGCACACAGAACGCAATGAACTAGCCATTCTTTCGGCAAATTTGTTTCCATCATTAATTATATTACGCTGTTATGGACCACAATGGTTTTGAGCGACAAACTCAACATTTCCCTGGCACCATCAGCTGGACAAACCTAGCTTGATGTATTGCGTGACGAGATTTTGCTAATTTGTTCCCACGTTATACGACTTTGTTTCGCGGGTATAACCACCACTAGTTATTGTGACATATTAGAATCGAAAATTATTAGAATGGAATGAAGACTTTTCAATTTAATGAGAATTTTCCTCTTTGAAATTGGTTATTTGTTTTATGGAAAGCAAAGATTGTTGTGGCTGGGGGTATTTCAGCCCTGATTTCTGTCATGGAATGCCGGGTCGACGTATCGAATCCTTTGAAGTACTACCAGCTATCCAGCAAAATCCTTGAGTGCGGTTAAACTTGTTTTGGTCCAGTCGTTTTGGCTTCGAAATGGAAAAAATAAACAATTTGTCAAACATGTGCTCTAAACCCTTTTTCGTGGGCAAAAAAAAAAAAAAAAACTTTTTTTTTCCGACGAGAAGTCAAGAGGACCGCTCGTAGAGTGTTCAGGTGGCTCTCTCAAAAATCAAAATCTAAAACATTAAAATATTGATAAGATGATGCAACCAGGAGAGAAAGGATATTAGTTAAACGAAGTCAGTAAAGGCAAGGCCAGTCACAAACTTATATCTGGTGTATCAAGAAATGAGCGCCAATATCAAAATCTTCATCTTTTTCCTACTCACTTTCCCATTTGTCGGAAGGTAACATTCTACAAATGTGTAAGAAGAGAGAGAGGTTCATGAAACGTATTCTCTTGAATTGACTATTTACCGGGTTTAACTTAACTGTACGTAAAGACTTTCTTATAAGACACCTCTATCAAGGAATTTGCCTTTACATTCTAGATCAGTAAATCTTGGAGCCGCTTGCCAAAATATGTGGAGCAATGCTCTAAATAACTTGATTGTTCCTGGAGAATTAACTGTCGCCAACGGAAACCCGTTGTTCACCGTGGTAAACGGAGGAGGAGGAGCTGCAAAACTCGCTTCTGATGAGTTTACCCGATTCCGAGGTAATTAAAGAATAAGGTGTTTCTCTGTGTTTTGCTTCAAAGATACTTACCATTGACAGAAAAAAGCACTACGATTCAAGTCAGAGCTTTAAGACTTGGTCTCTCCAAAAGCTGTCTGGTGCGTTTCGGGTCGAAAAATCGATTTCTTTCAAACTTTGCCAAGGAATCTATCTTAGTCCACAAGTAATCGATTTCAAATATAGCAAAATTATTTTTCCCTGAGCGAAAATCGCTTCAGCGCTCGAACGCCCGTTTTTAACAACGCCAATTATCAAAATTCCAGTTTGAGGGTTTTGTTTCGTTTCGCATATTTAGATCAACCCTTTGTAAGGACAAAGCACATAAGTTTTGTTTCTTTAACTTTTTTTCACTAAATATGTAGTTTTTTTTATCTCGGCTCAGCCCAAAATTTCAACTTCTTCCTCACGATATTTTTATTTTGACTGGCTACAATAGGGTAGGAGAGCATGGAAATGTAAAAAACATGTTGTGGTTTCGGCGGACTTTCAGAATAGCCGGCCAACAAACTCGCAGGCGCATGTTCAGATGTATCCAAAATGACAGGCCGTAGTATCAAGCATTCACGGGACGTAATCGGTAATGTCCAATTAAATAAATTTTCTTCAGCCGACATTGAATATAGACATTTCTTCGTTTTTCTATTTTCCATATGCGGCATTCAGCGTACTTACTTTTCATGTTTGGAACGAAATGTCGTTACAAATACGTTTTACTTTCCAAAAAATTATATAAAAGTTACAAATAATTTTTCCGTTTTTTCCCTATCAATCTTGCACTGATTGCCCACCTGATTGCTTTCTTCAAGTGGCGAACAGATTTCCTTTTTTTGGGAGTTTTTTTTGCTTGGATTTGCGCGAGGTTTTCGCCGTCTTTAGAACTTAATGTTTGGCTCCCCTGCTCATACTTAAAAGAGGAAAACTAATCAGCTTTTGGAGAAAAATTCCCCGCTTCAAACTAAGAGAAATTGATCCAAAAACAGGCTATTACGAGATGACAACCTCCGAAGGAAAGAATGCGAGGACCACTTTTTGGACTCGTTTGTTACTCAAGCAGAGATCGAAGGATTTGTAGTGACACTGAATGGCAATTTGCAGACAATATATGGGAGATTATTGTAGTTATCAGGGGTTGTATTTCCCCGCATGAAACCTCGAAAGATGTCTTACATTTTGGTAATGGTAAGTGTATTGAGGTTCGATTATCATAATTAGAACCCCGCCTTTTTCACAAAGTTATCATGAACGCTGCTACCTAACTTAAATGTTATGATCGCACACAAGCCTTACTAAGCGGCAGCGATTTTTAAAGTTTACGAGCGCTTTTCATTCAACTAATTTATTCCTCTTTTCTCGTCACCATATTCCCACCAATGGTGTAGCTCCACTTTCTACATATAAATCCACACACAACCCACAATTCCTCTAATCGCTCCGACGAAGGGCTAACGCTCGAAACGTCAGCTTTTTTACCCTTTACGGTGGCTAATTTACGTTTTCAACCCAGTTGTTAACACTAAATTACCTGCTATACTCTCCCACCGACGCAGCACCACAGTTTCTTTAGAAACTTACCCCTTTATTCTCTTTTTCTAGATCAAGGTGAAGATTTTTCTTTACTAAATGATGTTTTACCTTATTGCAAGTCATAAAAAAAGCTTTTATGGACTCGAATAACGTGTCAATCATAAGTTGGCCGTATAAATTTCGTTTACTTTTGAGACCGCTCCGTGTGCATTGTTAGTTCAAATTTTCGAAAAATTCGCGCAATTTGTTGACCGGCTATTCAAAAAGTTTGCAGAAACCACAACAAGTTATTATATTTCCATGCTACTCTAGCCATTTTTTTCGCCAGTCTGAATGAAAATATCGTGGGGGAGAAGTCGGAATTTTGCGCTGAGCCGAGATAAAAAGTTGCATATTTCTGGTCATGGCGGTGGCTTCAAAGTAAGTGTCAAACAAAAAAAGTTTCAGTGAAAAAAACCGTTAAAAAAACAAAACTTATGTGCTTTGTTCTTATAAAGAGTTGATCTAAGTATGCGAAACGAAACAAAACCCTCAAACTGGAATTTTGTGAAAAGACGAGCTCGGCAATTTGTGCTACTTTTGATAATCGGTGTTGTTAAAAACAGGACCGCTTTAAAGGAGACTGCGTCTTAACAAGCCTTTGAAATCTACGTGAGAGGAAATAGCGATGGATATCTATTCATTCACCGTCAACATGATTAATCTACAATATGTTTAACCAGATGATCACGAGTAGTAACCTGACATAAGTACTCGGTTTCGGAAGGGGAAAAGAAACTGATCGACTTGCTTTTATTGTTAATTTTCTCTTTCAATACAAGTTACCACAATAAGAATCAGTGTTAGTTTGTAGATTTGTTGTAGTTTGTAGTTTGTTTCTAATCAAGTAGTCATACTTTCATTTCAAACTAATCTCAAAAGATTCTGCCCGAGCGTTATTAAAAGATTATTTTGGAACAGTATTCCGCAATTAACCAGAGACAAACCATCTAATAAGATGTTTAGAAAAGCACTTTTACGCTAGTACCTCGCTCAATACTAATGAAATATCATCTCTTTGGAAATTTACTGAGCTATTTTTATATGCTTTCCTTAACTTCTTTTACCAAAAAATTACAAGTCTTTTTTTTATATTAACGTAACTTATGGGGCACGATATTAGTTTATCTGGACGTGCCCCTCTCCTCTCCTTCCTATATACAATGTGACTTAATCTAAGTGGAGTAGTTTTGTATTGTAAGTCTTCTTTCCTTGAAAAATTTTATACTTTTTTACTTACTTTTTCACCTTATATCTAATTTTGTGTTATCACTTGCTAAGGTTTGGAGAAAAAAAAATAGCTCGTAGAGAAGTAAGAAAAATAAGGCTAAAATAACCTGGAAATAAAAGATTTGTATTAAAACCTTAATTGGCTTTGCACTGTAAGGCCAGAGTGCCAAAAACGAACAAGGTAACCATTTTGTGTCCTGTTTTAGCCTTAGATTGAGATTACATACGTTTTCGGAGAAGAGAAAACCTTCACCTTTAAAAAAAACTCCATTTTTAGATCAGGATGCATCTCGAAGTATTAAACGCCGTAAGATTGTAAATCAGTCTTTAAACTGCAAGCAGCAGTGCAGTGTTATTTAATGAAAGTATTCTCTCATCTTTGTGAACGTTTAAAACGGGTTCAGTTCATACCAGTATTTCTTTTGGTTGCCGTTAGTAAACGTTTGAATGGTGGTCAATTCCTAACTGATCACGTATATTATGATTGCAAACAGAGATATTGGCTGATTACCGAGCTGTGCCGTTTGTTCTCAATCAGCAACATATAAATGACTTCATAACTGCGGTAACCCAACCAAACGGACCTATGGAGGCTGCACTCAATTATTTATTAACTCAGCATGGATCATTGCCTGCAGGCGTGGTATGTCTTTAACTTGTAGAACTATTCTTTTTTGAAGGAGTAAGGAGCAATATGAGTCCTTCAAGACGATTCGTACTTCAGACCTATGGATCTTACCGTATGATGCTCTTCCACTGAGCAACAAAGAACTCAATTGTGAGCTAACGAGATAATTGGTGTTCCATTCCACACGAGATCTCAGATTTTTCTGAAGTGCTTCTTTCGAAGCTCAAATTATTCACTCGCCACTGAATTTCGCAAAGAAAATCACGAAACTATTCTGAGGAGAGAAAGAGTCGATAATAAAACCCAGGTTGTTCACTCATCCAACATCTACCACATGCAAATGTTCTTGCAATGATCTTAAATACTTCCTCAACCGTTTCAGTAGCAAGAGCAGGCACCTTATGACCATATGTTCCATTGTTAGCCCTTAAATATACCAGAGTAATAAACAACCCCAAACCGAAAGGATGATCTTACTCCTTACTAAGTGTACCTCTCTTCTTGACGGTGTATTAAAATTTCGAATTGACTCAGCATAGAGGAAGATGTCATTAGTCTTGTCACGACAAAAAGGAAAAAATTAAAAACTGAGGGCCCATGAGAAATTGGAAGACACATTTCAGGATCATTTCTACCTCTTTTCGTATCACTTGTTGTTAACTCAGTTGCCTTGATCGTTCACTGAATGATACCCCTAATAGTTCATACCCTTTCAGACAACCTTACCTCAGTTCAGATGCGTCTTGGAAGATTTATGGTTTAGAAACACTAATGGCTTTAGAGATGTCTTTGTTGGTAAGTGCGGAAAATAATACAGATAAATAAATAGTCTTAAGTGGTTTATCGGCACATTATCCGCCATAGAAGGGCAGTGGGTCTTAAGCAGTCTCCGAAAGCACTTAGCTACCTGACAATTATTTATCGTTTATTCCTCGACGAATTTAATTAACATGATACAGAGTTACGTGCATCCATATTCACCAAATTCTGTGTTCACAATTTTGTTTATTAGGTCATAAAGTAAATGCCAACGATTACAATGGATTTCACAACTGGTACCAGTTTTTCCTTGAACAAGGGAGAAACCCAACTCAGACGACGAACATCTGTTTCAAACAGTCTCCGGAACTGCCGGCTTTCGTTGGAAACAAACGCGTCAGTTATTTCCTTTAGAGCAAAAAACTCTACCTGTGGAACCCATGGGTTCAGCTGATAATGTGCTCAGTAACTCTACAATCGAGTTCAATTCGTTCTCGGAAAATTCAATTTTTATCCACTCATAGGGCGTTGAAGCAATGTAGTGAGGGTTGAGAGCTGGTGGAATAGCTAAATGGCCAGTCACACTAATCTGATTAAATGTTGAGATCGTTACGTCAATTCCTCTCGATTAAAAATACTTCTGTACTTGTCTCCTAAACAGGCAAACAAAGGGTAGAGAGAGAGAGAGAGAGAGATAGAGAGAGAGAGACTATTTCGCGGAGGAGGGGAATTCAAAAGCGTACGGCTGTTTACCTCACATGGTTTTGCATTACACTGACGTGATCCTCATTGCTGCTAATAGCCTTAATTTCCACATTGTAAAGGGAAGAACACTTAGTTTCTCTTTTACCTTTTCATCTACAGCCGCAATTTTTACGTGACCTCTCATTCACGTGGAGAGGGGCGACCAAAGCACCAGCGGGCAGTAGCAGCAGCATGTTCGTTGGAACCAGCCCATCGTTCGAATTGGCCTTATTCACCACTTGCTTCCTTAAAGGACGCGGAAATGCTGGAGGAGCAAATCCACCTCCGGGACCGAACAGGATAACCAACTGTGAATGCAACATTAACGATAATGGGGTCAGCACAGTAGAAGTCGGGACCGTCGAGAACCAGAATGGCGAGGTCGTTGCAGCTGCCCCTACAAATGTCCATTAGAAGTAAGATTACCGTTCAGTGCTATAACTAGAGGTTTAGTAAGAACTCTTTCTATAATCAGGAGCAATTTGTGAGGGTTGAAGTTTCCCCTTGCAGTATCCCTTAGGATGAAGGATATCGTTTTCGTTGTCAATCGATTACGGTGTGCATCGCCTCTCTTATCACACAATGTAATATTCCAAAGCGTATAGTGTCCGATAATGAAGATGAGTTGGAAGTCATGTTGGTTAAAATAACTTACGACTTCTTATTTTTCAGATAAACGGCACACAAAGATGACAGCCGAGACCCTTGGCAAAGATTTCCGATTTATTATGAACACAAAATATCAGAAAACAGGTAGTCTGTTCCGGAATCTCGTTCAGCAGATACGAGCGAAATAGTAGGAAAATATCCCTTGGTGGTTGCACACCGCCATTCCTTACCCGCCTGCTTCTCTTGCTGCTGCTGACCGTGAGCCTGGCATCAGCTGCACAAAACCAAGAACCCACTACACATGGGCTGCTAACAAAACTAATAAATAATTTATGACCTCAAACCAGTGATAAAATAATTAAATATTTGGCCCCTAACCAGTTAAGAAGTCTTTTTGTGTGTCTATTTAATCCCCTGGGTACGAAAAAAACCTCGATTTCCAATTTTCCCTGCATGAAAAGTGATAACATGGTAAATCCGTCTATTAAATTAAAAAATACTTGTAGCTGTAAAGTATTATTATAACATAGCTAGCAGAGCCGCGCAATCAAATTCAGTATACGTAACCGTGCTCAAAATCCCGATAGTACAGGCTGATAGCGTGAGCAAATCGCTTCGCCAGAAGTTTTTTTTTTCGCGCGAGCGGCCATTGTTAGCGCGGGGAAAAAAATAATATATTTCGCGACAATTATGGTGCAAACAGAGACTTGGCCCACCAGTCCCAAGACGAAGACAATTTTCCAACCTTTTCCCTTGGGCTAAAGTTCTTAAATGAGGCAGAAAAAGAGAAAAAACAACGGAAAAGGAGACTCGGCATCAGCGTCGTCACGATTCGCTTCACTTCCCTTAATATTTCGCTTACCGCGAACAATCACTTCAGATATTGTTGTCCGCTTTTCGCGTCAGATTTGATGCACAATTCCGCCGACTATGTTATTAAACAATTGGTTCGTGCTTTTAGCTGTGCACTATCGACTTCCGGAGCACGTGGAAAGTTTGGAGAGCACTCAAGAAGTTAGAGTTGCCCACAGCTATTGCCTCGGGCAACTCTTACGCTTCTTTCGTGCTCTCCAAACTTCCCACGTGCTCCATAACTCAATAGTGCACGCTAAAGCATGAACCAATTGTTAACTGACAAATTTGGGTCTTCATCTAATCACCTGGGCCAAGTTGTATAAAGGGCGGATCATGCTATGCAACGGATAAATCGCTATCCAGCGGATAAGTAATAACAAAACGTATGGCGTTTTCCACCGGATAGAGTTTTATTCAGCGGATAGCTTTATCCACCTTCGAACAACCGGGGTCTGGTGAAAAAGTAAGATATTAAGCTCATTTTCTAAAATCCCCTGTTGACTATCTAAACGGATGCGATGAAAACAACGAGAAAATTAGTTGTATCAACTTAAAAACAAAGTAGTGCACACGAATCGATTATTTACAGGAAACCGTCGCACCTTCTACGAACAGAATACTCTCTGACACGTTGATTAACCTTAATTGATTGTAAAACACTTCAATATAAAATTGTAAAGAGATGACTGTGGTATACACCTCTTCGCGACACTCGTTCATTGCCTTGTAAGTGGTTTCTTCAGCAACTTGTTCGTTTTAAACCTTTCTCAGAATAGTTTTCATTTCCGGACTAGAATGTCCGCCGAAAAAGTTTATAGGGACACTTGGCCATCAGGAACGACAAACAGACAAAAGGGAAGCTCAAAGGAAGAAGGATGACCACAGAAGGCTTTCTCGTTCAGCTGATTATTAATTACGATTAAATTGTCGTACCATAGACCTTTGAAAAGTAATGTGATTGCTAGAACTTCCTGTCTTTTATCCTCCCTTCCCTGTTCTTGTTTTTTTTTCGCGAGTCGTTTGAAAGAATCTAAACATCGTGATTGAACTGATCTTAAGGCTTAAGTAAAAAGTGAGTATCATTTCAACTTGAGGATTTGCCCCCAGTGACAGTTGTCTATAACATAGAGGCCTAAGCATTTCTCTGGTCACAGAGATTTTTTACACTTCTCTCATTTTTTTCTTATTTCTCAGATAACAGAAACTTACTAGAGGTCTGTGATTTGTGGAGCTCTCTTATTGAGCATTACCAAAGCAAATAATGCTTTGTGGACGCAACGATTGGCCCTGAGTTGAACACATGTGAAATGTGATTTTCTTTATACATCAAGCTTGGGATGGCTGTTGTTAAAGATTGGTTTACATCACCCGAATAAATGCCAACTATAAAATTTTATAGAGTTATATGTATGAATAAATTAAATTTGAGCTGGTATTTGAAATACTTCAAAGAAATTTAAAAGATTTAGCAAAAATATTTACTCATATTCATGATCATTTGACAATACTTTTAGTTATTATCTAATATCTATATTACAATACTTTTAGCTACGTTAGTTATCACGAAGTGTCCTATTTTCTTACTTGTAAATACAAAATTTAACAGGTAAGATTTTAGATCTAGCACCAGGGAAATGTGCAACCAATTTCTGGAGAATGAAATCATAGAATAGTCCGGACCGATAAATTTGTGTGAGTTCCTCTATTTTATAAAGAGAAATTCAACAATCCTTTGAGTGAGCAGTGACGAAAACATGACCCATCTTTCTGAATATTGATATGTGATATTCGTAAAAAATGAACCATACCAAGTACGATATTTTCACCACCAATTTCCCAATGAACTACCTGTCCGTTGTAAAAATAAGTAAAGTTTACTGAAAACTACAATGTTATGTGTCATTCTTTCCTAAATAAAAAGTTTAGTGTCACTCTGTCACTATAAGGGTACCTAGTGTCCTACATTAAACTCTAAAGTTTAACATCCACCCTGTGTATACAAAAAGACCCTAGGTTCAAAATCATGGCTAGGACACCGCCAGCGTGAAAAATCAGTAATTGGTGTAAAAAAAATCTGACAATAGAGTCAAAAATGGGACGGTATTGTCCGGAATCAAACGCTAACGTCCGTTTTTAGACGGTTATATCTGATTTTAGTTATAGCGTCTGATTTTAAACGCTGGTATCTTATTTAAGACTCTAAAGTCCGATTTAAGATACGAGTTTTGATGAAAGGTCCTAGGTTTATAGTCAATCGATATCTATGGTTGGTTATTTTACCAAGGGTGAAAGTTACCTATATTTGAATCGTAGGGTAACTTATGAAAGGTTTATTATTTCATTTCATTTCTCAGTGACTTTTCATTTTACAACGCGCCAAACCATTTAAATATTAACCAGTCCTAGCACTGTTGTATGGGTGAAACAATGTGACATTTTTTGACATCGAAACTTCACTTTTTTGATCACAGTCAGTGGGTGACTACTAAACCACCATGTAACACTGTTAAAAATATATGGAATACCTGCACAAGCTAGATAGTGTAACTGAAATAAAATCCCTGGATGGTAAGTAGATCATATTATCCGTACTTTGTTTTCCGTTTAAACCGTGTCTGTATGGGGAGAAATGTGACTGAATTTATCGAAGTTTTCATATCCATCCAGTTAATCAATATGTAATGGCGCGTTTTTAATTAGTTAATCAATATGTAATAGCGCGTTTTTAGTTCATGATCAACGAAAGGCTGCGTATTCCCTCTCGATATCATAGCTGCTTTGGTAGTTACTTCAAGACAAACGAGGGAAAAAAAAGGGTCATTACGGTTTATGGGAGAAATGCATAGTTGATAAAAGTCAATCGATATATATGGTTATTTTACCAAGGGTGAAAGCTATCTGTATTGGAATTGTAGAGTAAAAGGTACAATTAAAGGCTTGTTATTTTATGTCATTTCTCAGTGACTTTTCATTTTACAACGCACCAAACCATTTAAATATTAATAAAATGACGAGACTATAACATTGCAAGCAGCTGAGTAGGAATTTAATTTTCATAGGAGTCAGGAAAGGCAAGGACAGTTCTCACTCGCGTATATCTGGAGTGGCAAGGAAATGAGAGCCGATATCGGTCTTCGTCTATTTCTTACTCACCTTCCCATTTTTCGCGAGGTAACTTAGTCTACCGTCTTTTTAGAAGAACTCATCAAATGTGTTGCCTAAGCGTTCAATATTCATTATAACTGATAGAAACAATTTCTAGAAAGTTGGTGAAAAATATTCTTTTCGGCACTTCAGTCAAAGAGTTTGTCTTTTAAACTTCAGATCAGTAGATCTCGGACCCGCTTGCAAAGATATGTGGAAAAACGCCGGAAATAACTTGATCGTTCCTACAGAATTAAATGTTGATGCGGTGGCCAACACAAAGCAGTTGTTTAAGGTGCTTCCAGAAAAAGGAGCTGTAAAAGTCAGATCTGCTGCATTTCAGCGATTCCGAGGTATTTAAGGTGTCTTTGGTATCTTTTGTTTCAAAGCGACTTGCCATTGACAGGTGAAAATCTATGGGGAGCCATTTGTGCCAAAAATATCGATCGCTGTTTGTCTCTTACAAAAAGGGAAAATCTCATAAAGACACGCTTGTGAGAGCAAAAATATAATTTAAAGGCGATAATGCGACACGACCACAAACGCCACATGGGAAGTCCGTGCCGGTCGGTCTTTGCCTTTATTGTCATTTCAATGTTCCTAATCAAGAAAGTCAGTAAGATATGATCGATACATCTCTGCTTAACAAGCGGGAGACTGGTTCAAGTTAGAATCGATGAGAAATCGATATTAGCAATAACGATTAAGTTTTATCACTAGCGATTGATATTTTAGCACTAACGATTGAGTTTTATTGCTAGCGATCGATATTTTTGGCACAAATGGCTCCCCATAAAAATCAAAGATACAGTACACATCAGGGCCTTTTATCAGTCGTGGTAATCTACTTCCTGTGAGGAAGTGAAAGAATGATCGCAAAATCTATGCATCTACTGAAGACATAGTTGGTCTACAATATCGCTCTGCTCAATAACCAACCTATTGTAAGTAATTTATTTCTACAGCGGAAATAAAATTCAAGGATGGACTGTGTGGGCCAAAAATGCATCAGTTGTAAACGTTTTTCCATTTTTATGAAATTACGACTTTAAAAGAAACATTTTACAGAAAAATCTTATCTATAGGCCAAAATAACCGAGAAATTAATTGGCAGTGCAAAGTTGCGCCGGGAATGTTATAATTTATCAAGGTAACTCAGGTTTCTGTAGTATTATGAGAAAGATTTACAGCAATTATTACGTTTCCTGCTTCTTAGCTTAAAATCGAGATCACGTGCGCTTTCAGAGAAAAAGAAGTCTCAGTCTAAAAAAAAGGAAAAATCCCCTCGATTTTGATGTTTTGAAAAAACGCCGTTGAGTCAGATGGAAAATTGTAAATGTTTTCTATAATTCCAAACAGACTTGAAGGTTGATTACCAAGCTCCATATCCTGCTCCCACTCAGCAACATATAGATGCCTTCATAACTGCACTAACCCAACCAGGCGGACCTATGCAGGCGGCATTCGATTATTTAAAGAAGAACGGATTATTGCCCCAAAGCGTGGTATGTGTAGACCACTTTTTGTAATAGAGAAATATGTTATTCATGTGTCCTCAACATGTTAATCCTTCAAGAAGAGTCGAACTTTAGAACTTTTGATCTTGACGCCCTTCCAATGAACAACAGGGAATTCGTTTATGAACCAATGAGGTAAAGGACCACAAGGGGTGGGGTGGGGTGGGTGGAGATCACATGGTATCCAAGGGAACTATGGGGAGATCAGTTGTCGCCATAAAGAGGGACTTTAGAAAATTGACTATCAATTAGCCACCAAGGGGAAGGGGAGTCATAGCCGGGGGGGGGGGGGACAGGTAAATTTTATCGTGAAACAACCAAATTTCCCCCCACCACCACCCGGGGGCTACCGTTCCCTATTTAAGGTAACTAAACGTGAGGGCTCGTGAGAAGTTGATGAAGATAACTTGATATCATTTTGCATGGTCACCGTCCCTTGCATTCAAAAGCGTAAGGAGAAATTGATCAAATAAGTTTTTTTGTTGAGGGTTAGTCCTCTGTTCGCTCCTCTAACTTCATAGATTACACTCCATCTATTTTCGTGTCACATATCCTCTGTGAAATTGCTGTTCTTTGACCCCCTCTATCGTTATGAACTTCACTTTTAGACAACCTTACAACAGTTTAAAGGTGTTTTGAACGATTTATGGTTCCGAAACAGCAATGGATTCAAACATGTATTTGTTGGTAAGTAAGGAAAATAAAATAAATAAACAAACGGAAAGTCTCTCAAGGTTTATGTCTAGATTATCCGCCATGAAAGGCCTTGGTAATAGGGTCTTTTCAAACAGTCCCCGAGAGAACTAAGCTACCCGGCATTCTTCGGGAATGCAAAAAAATATTCCCGCAGTCATTATAACCAAATTCTGTGTTCACGTTTCTGTTTAACAGGCGATTTAAAAGCCAACTCCAACACTTTCAGTGGATTTCACAACTGGTACCAGTTCTTGCTTGAACAAGAGAGAAAACAGACGACAGATATCGCTTTCAGACAACCCGCACATCTGCCGCCCTTCGTGGGGAATAGACTGGTTAGTTATTTCATTCAGAGTGGAAATATCTACTGAAAAAGCTGTGAAGCCATAACCTCCTGCAAATCTTATATTAAGTTTCGATTGGTACTCTATCTGTGTTCGTAACTGCAATATTGATTGATTGATTGATTCATTTCTACCGGCTTTAAAGGAAGGTGGTGTGGGGTACAAGTTTTTTTCTGTCCACTCTTGATTAGTTTTGAGTGTAAATCATATTTTACAGCGGAGAAGATAACATCCCACTTACTATCCAGTCTGCCGACCAATCAGATTTCTTGAATCAACAAGATCGCTGCGTGTGTATACACGAGTGCGTGATACGTTTACTCATTAGTATCCTATCTGTATGTTATGCCATGCATTAGTTAAGTGACTTCAACCATCTGCAACCTTTCGTAGACAAGAGACTGGTTAGTTATTTCATTCAGAGTGGAAATATCTACCAAAAAGGTTGTAAAGCTATAACCTTCCTGCGAACCTTAAATCTAATTTCGATTGGTACTCTATCTGTGTTCGTAACTGCGACATTGATTGATTGATTCATTAAAATTTAAATCTAGACAATAAATGTGCGAGAGAGATGTCTTACGAACAAATGGTACACAAATCAGCGTGAAATGACTCTCATCATTGGTAGACATCGGTCGATATCTGAAGCCATAAACTTAATGTGTTTTCGTCATCTAATGGCCGTTATTTAGAGGTGTCGCTCCATTACAAGTTCGCCCCAGCCTCCTTTGCAAGTTCACTCCTTGAAGTAAACCAAGTCTCACCCCAAACCTTTACCAGTTCGCACCCAAATCTTTCCACTCGTTTCCTGAATTTCAAGAAAACAGCTTTCCCTTTTCGGTCGAAATCAAAGCGCAAATCTGAATCTAACACCGAACCGCGAGGCATGATTTTCCGTGCCGTTGGTAAATACTGGTTTATGATAATAAATGTCAAAACAGATCGATTACGAACCTGTAAAATAAGTTGAGGGCAAACTTGCAACTGGGAGAAACCTTCCTAAACTGTTCTCTTTTAACCTTAAGAGCCACTTTTACATTAAATCTTTCATCACGAGTAAATCCTGTGAAAAAACCCGATCCTCCAAAAAGACTTTAGATATTTCACTTTGGCTGTCTAAAGGCCGCCGAAATCTACTGAGAGAGTAAACATTTATAAGTTTGTATCTTTCGTTATAAGGGATTTGAAACCACATTTACAGAAAAGGGGAAGAATTGAACTTTTTCTGTCCACTCTTGATTAGTTTTGAGTGTAAATCATATTTTACAGCGGAGAAGATATCCTCCCACTTACTATCCAGTCTGCCGACCAATCAGATTTCTTGAATCAACAAGATCGCTGCGTGTGTATACACGAGTGCGTGATACGTTTACTCATTAGTATCTGTATGTTATGCCATGCATTAGTTAAGTCAAAATATTTTCCTTCTGCTCTAACCTTGCAATTGCAGAGAAGTGGAACGGAAAGACAGCGCTGACTCTCTCGCAAAGCGGTCTAAGATAACCATTGAGGAAAAATTGCCTCAATTAATAGAGCTGAAAATTTTAAGCATTGCAAGAATATGTAATGATGTTCAGCTTATTTGACAAGATGCAAGTCGTTGCGACGTGCTTGTGAAAAGCTTATTACTCGGAAACAGGGTTTGCTTCTTGGCTCAAATCGCAGTCAGATTGGTGCAAACACAGCAGCGACTTTTTCGTAAAGTGAAACACGTTTTTCTTACTCAGACCTATCATACCTGGTGCCTAGCTTAGAGAGAGTGACCTATGAACGGCATTAGGAACATCTGGAAACAAGGTCTACTGCTCTACTCACACCAAGTGTGTAACCTGCATTATCATCCATGATGATTGACGAAAGTAAATCGCTTGAAAAGGTGACAACGTGACAACCGTAGAACAGTAAAGAGGGCATCGAAATATTTTTGTTCACGCGCCTTCATTCAGTGTCTGTTGACTAGTTCCTTCATCTTCCTGAAAAGTCTTAATTTTTTGATAAAAAAGTAGTAGATACAAGCCAAACTGGTCAAATAATTATCAAAAATATCGCAAACGAAATGATATCAAAGGCAAAGAGAAACTAACGAAAAAAATACAAAAGCCGCAGGTAAACATTATGGGGTCAAACGATCGATATTTACAACACCCAACGTTTTTTTTAAATTAATCCCAATTGTATTTAGGTATCACCAAGGAAACTTGGTAATAGTTGTTTTGTGATGGAGATATTAATGTTGGTAACTATTTTCCCTTTGTCGATAAACTTCAAAATACCATTGGATCGATAAAAGGACATATGATAAGGACATGTGAAACACATGACTGTGAAAGTAATCGATATTTTAATGGCTATAATTATCGTTGATATTTAGAACTAAAATGACAAGTCTTTTCACGCTCGGATTGCTAAGAGAAAGAAACTTTGAGTGCATGTTCTTAGTCAATCGATATCTCAGTGCATCACCAGGGTTTATATTTTGTTCTATTTAAAATTTATTTCAATAAATGGTTATGCAAAGGTTTCATTGTACATACATTCCTCACTATACGATGTTCTAATGGCTGACATTTCATAAAAAAAGTATTGAAACTATTACTACTTATAACTGGATTGCACTGTTAATTTTTTCTTTCACTTCCTGAGGACTTCCCGCTCTATACCAGAACTTTTAAATATTCATGATATGATCAAGTAAAAATTCTTACTAGAAGCGTAAGAATTTTCAACACCCATAACCTCAGGAGAAGAACGACCAATTCTGAAAATTGAATATTTGGTTTACGAAGGGAGTGATCTTTTACATGAAAATTTTGATCTTTATTTTGCTGAATTTACCTTATGACGCGAGGTACATTTCTTTCCTTTCATTTTGTACATAGGAGAGGCCCATTAAATGGCTCAAACTATCATTTACTACTCCAGTTTTTAGACGTTTTTCATCAACAGGTAGTGTAAAATATTCTATAGACTGAAACTATCGTCTCTTTCCTTCCTCCTCTGTTCAGTGCAAGTTATTTAAGAGATTATATATATTTGAGTCTTAAAGCACTGGCTACTCTCGAACAGTTGGACTTGGTATATCAGTAATGTTAAATTTGAGAAGTTTGCCCTTTACATGTAGAAGGACGATATTCTTCAAATAACGTATTTTCCTTCCGTGTTCAAGGTCTCTCAACCTTGGAGGTCACGTTTGTCAAAAAAATGTGGAACGACGCTGAAAATAATCAGTGTTCACATTGGTGCACGGAGCTGGGGCTCAAACAAAACCCCAAAAACTCTAAAGGGAATAGTTCACCCGATTTTATGCCATTTTTGTATAGAACTTTATAGGCAACTTTTCAACGACATTTTTCAACGCTATCATCGCTCGATATGAGTGCTAGAAATTTACCTCTTAAGATTGATGAGAAAGTTCTCAACTTTTCACTTTGCAATGTTCGTGTTCTGTAATATGTAATGTTGATCTATATTTCACAAAAATGATGCGGTCGTAGATTGAAAGATTCTTGATTTAGAGACATAGAAGTCTAACAAAACAAACAATCGTAAATGGCTGTCGCTTTAAAAGCAGATACAATTTTCTATGTTCTAAACAGTTAAAATGACCATGTCGAAATAGGCAATGAAGATGATAGCTCATTTAAGCAAGTTGAGATATCTTAGAGATAGGTTGGCGTTAAAATTTGATCATTGCGTTTTTTTTAATTTTATATTGGTTGACTATCAAGCTCAACCTTACAATCTTAATCAGCAGCATAGAACTGACTTCATCACTGCAATAACCCAACCATGTGGACCTGTGGAAGAGGCATTCGGATACCTGAAAACTCAAGCGAACGCACACGCAGCGATCTTGTAGATTCAAGAAATCTGATTGGTCGGCAGCCTGGATTGTAAGAGGGAGGATATCTTCTCCGATATAAAATATGATTTACACTCCAAACTAATCAAGAGTGGACAAAAAAAGTTCAATAACTGCCGTTTTCTCTAAATGGGGTTTCAAATCCCTCGTAACGAAAGATACAAACTTATACATGTTTACTCTCTCAGTAGATTTCGGTAGCCTTTAGACAGCCAAAGTAAAAGTTCAAGATTATTTTTGGAGGATCGGTTTTTTCACAGGAATTACCTGTGATGAAAGATTTGATGTAAAAGTGGCTCTTAAGGTTAAAAGAGAACAGTTTATAAGGACAAGGGGTTTGAGGAAGGTTTCTCCCAGTTGCAAGTTTGCCCTCAACTTATTTTGCAGGTTTGTAATCGATCTGTTTTGACATTTATTATCATAAACCATAATCTATCAACGACATGGAAAATCATGCCTCGTGTTGCGGCGTTAGATTCAGATTTGCGCTTTGATTTCGACCGAAAAGGGAAAACTGTTTCTTGAAATTAAGAAAACGAGTAGGAAGATTTGGGTACGAACTGGTAAAGGTTTGGGGGAAAGACTTGGTTTACTTCAAGGGGTGAACTTGCAAAGAAGGCTGGGGCGAACTTGCGATGGGGCGACACCTTCAGATACCGGCCATTAGATGACCATAACACAATATGTTTCTGTCGCTGTTTATGGCTTCAGATATCGACCGATGTATACCAATGATGAGAATCATTTCGTGCTGATTTGTGTACCGTTTGTTCGTAAGAAATCTCTTTCACACATTTATCGTCTGAATTAAAGTTTTAATGTTCCAGATAAATCCTGTGCTGTAATACAAGACGGTAACCTTTCGTCTATTGAACATTTCTTGGATAGGCTGTGACAACCCTTGCATTATGTGGGTTCTCGACGGTCCTAAATCGTACCAGGCTCTGCGGTAACCCTGAGGCCGGTACGTGGATGTTGCATTCACAGTCTGTTACTCTATTGCCGTTTCCTCCTATTACTCCTCCTCCGGGTGCACGTCCCCTCAATACACAAGCAGTAAACATGGCCAAATCAAATGCTGGGCTGGTTCCAACGAACATGCAGCTGCTGGTGCCCGCTGGTATTTTGTTCGCCCCTCTCCATGTGAACGTTAGTCCTCGCAGAAAAAATGGCTGTAAATAAGATTCTAAATGAGAAACTAGGTGTTCACCTCTTTATATTTAAAATTCTGCAATCGGCTGTCAAGGGCACAAAAATGTTCATGGTTTCAATTAGGATAACAACAGTGCAAACCCAACGGAGGTTTGTAGCCCAACGCCAGTTCTATAAATAATATGGAATAACGGACTTTTAATTGCATAACACGTACGATATCACGTGCTTTAGGCTAAGATTACATTACAGCATCTTGTTTAGCCAGCGCTGAGCTTAGGATTTATAGGGCTTAGCTGAAAGCCTGCTCGACCCGGATTATTTCGAAGCACTTTTCTCTTAATGCCTTTTTCTCGTCGTTTAGCACGCACACTTGTAAAAACATCTCTTTTATCGAGAAGGATTAGAGTAACATGACACGAACATTCAAGCAGAATAGTGTGATTGACAATTTTACCCTGTACGCTTGTATCCCACACCGCCTTCCTTTAACGCTGGTGTGAATGAATGAAGGAATGAATGAACACAGATAGAGTACGAATCGAAATTAAATTTAAGGTTTGACGGAGGTTATGGCTTCACAGCTTTTGCAGTAGATATTTCCACTCTGAATGAAATAACTAACCAGTCTATTCCCCACGAAGGGCGGCAGATGTGCGGGTTGGTTGAAAGCGATATTTGTTGTCTGAGTTGGGTTTCTCCCTTGTTCAAGATAGAACTGGTACCAATTGTGAAATCCATTGAAATCGTTGGCGTTTATGTGATTGCCTGTTAAACAGAAACGTGAACACAGAATTTGGTGGTGATGACTGCAGGAATATTTTTTTACATTCACCTACTGAAGAATGCACTAGCATGCCGGGTAACTCAGTTCTCTCAGGGACTGTTTGAAAAGACCCTATTACCAAGGTCTTTCATGGCGGAGAATCTGTACATGAATGAATGAATGAATAGATAACTTTATTTAAAGAGGAAGACGCAATAACCTCTTACAGTTTCCTAACTTACTTCCCTCAAAAATAAATTTTAATACATATATACAAGAGAAACGATGTTTAAAGTAGAATAAACTATGAACACGTAATAAAATTGTAATAAACGAATGTGATTATATGAAAGTAATACATTTGAACTGCAGATAAAGACATGAATATGAAAGCGATCTTCGCAGTAATGAACACTACTTGAGCAGTAGTGAAAATAAGGCCTGAAAAAAATTCAGGCCTGTACGGGATTTGAACCCATGACCTTTGCGATACCGGTGCAGTGCTTTACCAACTGAGCTAACAAGCCAACTGGGAGCTCATTTGTTAGCTCAGTTAGTAGAGCACTGCACCGGTATCGCAAAGGTCATGGGTTCAAATCCTGTTCAGGCCTGATTTTTTTTCAGGCCTTATTTCCACTACCACTCGAGTAGTGTTCATTACTGCGAAGATCTCTTTCATATTCACGTAAAATTGTAATATCTAAAGTGATGAAAGAGAGTGAAATCTGCCCAAAATACTCGATAGGCGTTGTGGTTGGAATTATGAAGAACATTTACAATAAGTAGAATAGCGGCAAGTCGCGCACAGTCGATCCTCCAAGTGCTCGGCAGAGGATGGGCTTGAGAGAACTAGATTTAGACAAAGTACATAAAGATTGAGAGACTTTCTTTTAAATTATTAATTTTTTTATTTTCCGTACTTACCAACAAAAACATGTTTAAATCCATTGCTGTGTTGGAACCATAGTGCCTCCAAAACAGGTCTAAACTGTTGTAAGTTTGCCTAAAAGTGAAGTTCATAACGATAAAGGGGGTCAACGAACAGCAATTGAACAGGGGACATGTTAAGCGAATATAGATGGAATGTAATCTATGAAGTTAGAGGAGCGAACAGAGGACTAACTCTCAACAAAAAAGTTGATTTGATCAATTGCTCCTAACGCTTTTGAACGCAAGTTACGGTGACCCTGCAAAATGATGTCAAGTCATCGTCACCAACTTCTCATGAGCCCTCACGTTTAGTTACCTTATTTAGGAAACGGTCATTATTTAGCCCCCGGGTGGGGGTGGGGAGGGGGAATTTGGTTGTTTCATGATAACACTTACCCTTCCCCCCCCCACCCCAAGGCTCTCTATTATTCTTATGATTCCCCCCCCCCTTCTTCTTGGCGGTTAATTGGCGATCAATTTTCTGGAGTCCCTCTTTTATACTCTGTTGGCGAAAACTGATATCCCGTCCGTTCCCTGAATACCATGTGATCTCCACCTTAATGTCTCCACCCACCCCACCCCTCTTGGTCCCCTACCCCATTGGTTCATAGACGAATTCTCTGTTGGAAGGGCGTCCTGCTGTAAGATCAGATATTCTAAAGTTCGACTCTTCTTGAAGGACTAACATTTTCAGGACACATAAATAACATATTTCTTCATTACAAGAACTGGTCTACACATACCACGCCTGCAGGCAATGATCCCGGCTGAGTTAATAAATAATTGAGTGCCGCCTGCATAGGTCCACCTGGTTGGGTTACTGCAGTTAAGAAGTCATTTATATGTTGCTGAGTGGGAGCAGGCTGTGCAGCTTGGTAATCAACCATCAAGTCTGTTTGGAATTATAGAAAACATTTCCAATTTATCAACTGACCCAACGGCGTTTTTTAAAAACATCAAAATGTAGTGAAGTGTTTTTTTTAGATTGAGACTACTTTTTCTCTGAAAGCGACGTGATCTCGATTTTAAGCTGAAAAGCAGGAAACAAAATGATTACTGTAAGTCTTGGTTATAACACTAAACAAAATCTGAGTTACCTTTCTGAGTTTTTACAACCCCGAGCCAACTTTGCGCTGCCAATTAATTTCCCGGTTATTTTAGCCTATAGATCAGATTTCTCTGCAAACTGTTTTTTTTTAAATCGTAATTTTATTAAAAGGGAAAAACGTTTACAATTGATGTATTTTTGGCCCACACAGTCCAATCTTGAATTTCATTTCCTCTGTAGAAATATATTACATACAACAGGTTGGTTATTGAGCAGAGCGATATTGTAGATCAACTACGTCTTCAGTGGTGCATAGATGTTCGCCGTGATTATTCTTTCACTTCCGCGCAGGAAGTCATTACCTCGACTGATTAAGGCCGTGATGTGTACTGTGTCGTAGATTTTAACCTGTCAATGGAAAGTGGCTTTGAAAAAAAAGATACCAAAGACACCTTAACTACCTCGGAATCGCTGAAATACAGGAGAAGCGACTTTTCCAACTCCTCCTGCTCCTGGAACAACCGTAAACAACGGGTTTGCGTTGGCCACCGGATTAACAGTTAATTCTCCAGGAAAGATCAAGTTATTTCCAGCGTTATTCCACATATTTTGGCAAGCGGCCCCAAGATTTACTGATCTGAAGTATAAAAGACAAACTCTTTGGCTGAAGTGCCGAAAAGAATATTTTTCACTAACTTTTTAGATATTTTTTCTATCAGTTATATTGAATATTGAACGCTTAGGCAACACATTTGATGAGTTCTTCTAAAAAGATGGTAGACTAAGTTACCTCGCAAAAAACGGGAAGGTGAGTAAGATACAGATGAAGACTTCGATGTCGGCCCTCATTTCCTTGGCACTCCAGATATACGCGAGTGAGAACTGTCCTTGCTTTCACTGACTTTTCTGAAAATGAAATTCCTACTCTGCTGTTTGCAATGTTAGTCTCGTCATTTGATTAATATTTAAATGATTTGGTGCGATGTAAAATGGAAAGTCATTGAGAAATGACAGAAAATAATTAGCCTTTGATAAGTTACCCTACAATTCAAATACAACTAGCTTTCACACCTCTTGTAAAATAACCAACCATAGATACGATTGACTATAGACATAGGACCTTTCATTAACTATGCATTTCTCCCACAGACCATAATGACCCCTTTGTTCGTTCGTTTGTCTTGAAGTAACTACCAAAGCAGCTATGATATCGAGAGGGAATACGCAGTCTTTTGTTAACCATGAACTAAAAGAGCGCTACGACATATTGATTAACTGGAAGGATATGACAACTTCGATGTATTCAAAGTTACATTTGCCCCATACAGACACGTTTTCAACGGAAAGCAAGTACGGATAATACGATCTACTTACCATCTAGGGATTTTAGTTTCACTCTTTAGCTTGTGCAGGTATTTCATATTTTTTTTAACAGTGTTACAGGGTGGTTTAAGAAGTCACTCATTGACTGTGATCGAAAAGTGAAGTTTCGATCTTAAGAAAATGTCACATTGCTATGTTGCTGACGAAACCACTTACAAGGCAATGAACGAGTGTCGCGAAGAGGTGTAAACCACGGCCATATCTTTACAATTTTATATCGTAAGTGTTTTACAGTCAATTAAGGTTAATCAACATGTCAGAGAGTATTCTGTTCCTAAAAGGTGCGACGGGTTCCTGCCAAAAACCGATCCGTGTGCACTGCTTTGTAATTAAGTTAATGCAACTGATTTTCTCGTTGTTTTCATCGCACCAGCTTAGATAGTTGACATTTGGTTTTTGAAGCTGAAAATCTTACTTTAGTGGGCATGAGGTGATTAGATGAAGGCCCAAAGTCGTCAGCACTACTTTAGAGCCACCATTATTTTTTTTTTTATCAATGGTTCCTTTTGAATTAAAATTTAAAAGACTGATGCACCATGTACTTACTTTTCATATGGAGAAAATTGGAAATCGAGGTTTTTTTTTCGTATCCAGGTCATTGAATAGACACAAAAAAAGATCTCTTAACTGGTTAGGAGCCAAATATTTATTTATTTTATCTCTGGTTTCATGTTATAAATCATTATTTTAACAGTTTTGTCAGCAGCCCATATGTGATGGGTTCTTGGTTTTGTGGAGCCTGTGCCGGGCTCACGGTCAGCAGCAGCAAGAGAAAAAGCAGGCAAATAAGAAATGGCGGTATGCAACCACTAAGGAACATTTGCCTACTTTTGTCTGCTGAACGAGATCCCGGAACTGGTTACTTTTTTTTGTGATATTCAGTGTTTATAATAATTCGGAAATCTTTGGCAATGGTCTCGGCTGTCACCTTTCAGTGCCGTTTATCTGAAAAATAAAAAGAAGTCATAAGTTATTTTAACCAAAATACACGAAATGACAAGTTGTTGCTGGTATTTGTTTCTGAGAATTACTATGTGCTCAGTTTGCACTTATCCAGCTTGATACAGCTGGAGGGCTTGTGTGGAACAAAATGCAAGAACACAACTTCCGACTCGCTCATACGCAGACTTCCGCCGTTCATTTCACAGCACATCTCCATCGTCGGACACTATGTGCTTTGTAATATTACATTGCGTGATAAGAGCGGCGATGCAATTAGGAACCAGTCTCAGTTTGTGCACCGTAATCGATTGAAATTTTCAGCTCTATTAATCGATGCAATTTTTCCTCAATGGTTATCTTTGACCGCTTTGCGAGAGAGTCAGCGCTGTCTTTCCGTTCCTCTTCTCTGCAATTGCAAGGCTAGAGCAGTAGGAAAATATTTTCACTTAACTAATGCATGGCATAACATACAGATAGGATACTAATGAGTAAACGTATCACGCACTCGTGTATACACACGCAGCCATCTTGTTGATTCAAGAAATCTGATTGGTCGGAAGACTGGACAGTAAGTGGGAGGATATCTTCTCCGCTGTAAAATATGATTTACACTCAAAACTAATCAAGAGTGGACAGAAAAAGTTCAGTTGTTCCCGTATTCTGTAAATGTGGTATCACATCCATCATAACGAAAGATACAAACTTATAAATGCTAAAGTCTTTTTGGAGGATCGATTTTTTTTTCACAGGAATTACACGTGATGAAAGATTTAATGTAAAAGTGGCTCTTTAATGTTCCAGATAAATCCCGTGCAGTAATACAAGACGGCAACCTTTCATCTATTTAACATTTCTTGGATAGGCTGTGACGACCTTTTTATTCCGTGGGTCCTCGACGATCGTAAATTCTACAGTGCTCTCCCCTAAACTTAGGCCATTAATTTTGCACACATAGTCTGTTGTTCTCCCTCCTGCCGCACGTCGACTCATTACACAAGTAGTAAACATGACCAAATCAAATGCTGGACTGGTTCCGACGAGCATGCTGCTGCTGCTGCTGCCCTGTGGTACCCCTCTCCATGTGAATGTTAGTCCACGCAGAAAGTATGGCTGTAAATAAGAACGTAAGAGAGAAACTTAGTATTTACCTCTTTGTATTTGAAATTCAGCAATGGGCTGTCAAGGGCACACAAATGTTCATGGTGTCAATTAGGATTACAACAATTCAAACCCAACAGAGATATGCAGCCAAACGCCACTCTTCGGTGAAATAATAATGAATAACAGACTTTTAATTGCAGAACGCGTACGATATCTCGGGCTTTAGATTAAGATTACATTACGGTATCTTGTTTAGCCAGCGCTGAGCTTAGGATTTATAGGGCTTGGCTGAAAGCCTGCTCAGCCCTGACTATTTCGAAGCACTTTTCTCTTAGGGCCTTTTTCTTGTCGTTTAGCACGCACACTTGTAAAAACATCTTTTTTATCGAGAAGTATCAGAGTAACGTGACATGAACATTCAAGCTGAATAGTGTGGTTGACACTGTACGCTTGTACCCCACACCACCTTCCTTTAAAGCCGGTAGGAATGAATGAATGAATCAATCAATCAATATTGCATTTACGAACACAGATAGAGTACCAATCGAAATTAAATTTAAGGTTTGCAGGAGGCTATGGCTTTACAACCTTTTTGGTAGATATTTCCACTCTGAATGAAATAACTAACCAGTCTCTTGTCCACGAAAGGTTGCGGATGGTTGAAGGCGATATTCTTCGTTTGAGTTGGGTTTCTGTCTTGTTCAAGCAAGAACTGGTACCAGTTGTGAAATCCAGTGAAAGTGTTGGCGTTGCCGTTTAAATCGCGTGTTAAACAGAAACGTAAACACAGAATTTGGTAGGGATGACCACAGGAATATTTTTTTGCATTTATCGAAGAATGCCGGGTAGCTTAGTTCTCTCGGGGACTGTTTGAAAAGATCCTATTACCAAGGCCTTTCATGGCGGATAATCTACACATAAACCTTGAGAGACTTTCCGTTTATTTATTTATTTTATTTTCCGTGCTTATCAACAAACACATGTTTGAATTCATGGCTATTTTGGAACCATGAATCGGTCAAAACACCTTTAAACTATTGTAGGGTTGTTTAAAAGTGAAGTTCATAAAGATAAAGGGGGTCAACGAATAGCAATTTAACAGGAAATATGTGATACGAAAATTGACGGCCTTGGCGGCTTATTGGTAGTCAATTTTCTTAACTCCTTCTTTATGGCGACAACTGATTCCCCCATCGTTCCCTTGGATAACGTAAGTTATGTTTACCTATGTTTACCTATACTACTCATGATCATCTGGTTAAGATATTGTAGATTAACTATATTGACTTGCGAAGATATCAAAGGCTTAGTAAGACGCAGTCTCCTTAAAAGCGGTCCTCTGTTTAACAGCACCGATTATCAAAAATAGCACAAATTGCCGAGCTCTTTTTTTCACAAAATTTCAGTTTGAGGGTTTTGTTTCGTTTCGCATCTTTAGATCAACCCTTTATAAGAACAAAGCACATAACAGTTTTTTGCACTGAAATTTTTTTTGTTTGACACCTACTTTGATGCTACCGCCATGACCTGAAAAATGCAACTTTTTATCTCGGCTAAGCGCAAAATTCCAACTTCCCCACGATAAATTTCTTTAGACTAGCTAAAAAAAGGGTAGAGTAGCATGGAAATATGAAAACTTGTTGTGGTTCTGCGAACATTTATAATAGCCGGTCAACAAATTGCGCGCATTTTAGAAAATTCGAACTAAAAATGGAGCGGTCTCAAAAATAAACGAAATTTATACGGCCAACTTATGATTGATACGTAATTCGAGTCCATAAAAGCTTTTTTATGACTCGCAATAAGATAAAACATCATTCAGTGAAGAAAAAATCTTCATCTTCATCTAGAAAAAGAGAGCCGCCGAAAGTTCTAGGCGACCCGTATTGTTTTGTTTATCAGCCTGAATTAATGAGAAAGGGGAAAAAAACTTCAGAGGCCAAGATAGCTACTACAAGATTCAGATTTATTCAGATTATTTCATGTTGTTCATTTAAAAACTGTTCATCTTAACAACACTTAGAGAGACTGCGTCTTAAAGCTCTGACTTGAATCGTAGTGCTTTTTTCTGTCTATGGCAAGTAACTTTGAAGCAAAACACAGAGAGGCACCTTATTATTTAATTACCTTGGAATCGGGTAAACACAGGAGAAGCGATTTTTTTCTCCTTATACACAGGGAACAACGGGTCTCCATTGGCGACCAGGTTAACAGTTACTTCTGCAGGAACAATCAAGTTATTATGTGCCCGGGGTTGGGGGCAGCACAGTAGAAGTTAAGACCGTCGAGAACCAGAATGGCAAGGTCGTTACAGCTTTCCTTACAAATGTCCATTAGAAGTAAGATTATCGTTCAGTGCTATAACTCGAGGTTTATTAAGAACTTTTCATATTTTAATATAATGGGAAACAATTTGTGAGGGTTGAAGTTACCCCTTGCAGTATCCCTTGAGATGAAGGATATCGTTCTTGTTGTCTATCGATTAAAGTGTACAAACAGAGACTGGTTCCTAATTGCATCACCTGTCTTATCCCGCAATGTAATATTCCAAAGCGCACGGTGTCCGATGATGTAGACGTGCTGTGAAATGAATAGCGGAGGTCTGCGTAGGAGCGAGTCGGAAATTCTCGGAAACAAATGCTAGCAACAACTTGTTATTTCGTGCATTTTGGTTAAAATAACTTATGACTTCTTATTTTTCAGATAAACGGCACACAAAAATGACAGCCGAGACCATTGCAAAAGATTTCCGAATTATTATAAACACTAAATATCACAAAATAAGTAACCAGCTCCAGGATCTCGTTCAGCAAATAAAAGAAGGCAAATGTTTCTGCTGGTTGCTTAACACCATGAGACCGGCACAGGCTGCACAAAACCAAGAACCCATCACATATGGGCTTCTGACAAAACTGTTAAAATAATGATTTATAACATTAAACCAGTGATAAAATAAATAAATATTTGGCTCCTAACCATTTAAGAAGTCTTTTTGTCTGTCAATCAGTAATGACCTGAATACGAAAAAAAACTCCGATTTCCAATTTTCTCCATATAAAAGGTGAGTACTTGGTGAATCAGTCTTTAAAATTTTAATTTAAAAGTAACCATTGATAAAAAAAAAAATTAAAAAAAAATACTGGTGGCTCTGACGGCTTTGGGTCTTCATCTAATCACCTGGTGCCAAAGTAAGATTTTCAGTTCATTTTCTAAAACCGCTTGTGAACTATCCAAACTGATGCGATGAAAACAACGAGAAAATCAGTTGCATCAACTTAATTACAAAGCAGTGCGCACGGATCGGTTTTTTACAGGAACCCGTCGCACCTTTTAGGAACAGAATACTCTCTGACATGTTGATTAACCTTGATTAACTGTAAAACACTTGCGATATAAAATTGTAAAGAGATGACCGTGGTTTACACCCCTTCGCGACACTCGTTCATTGCCTTGTAAGTGGTTTCGTCAGCAACATAGCAATGTGACATTTCCTTAAGATCGAAACTTCACTTTTCGATCACAGTCAATGGGTGACTTCTTAAACCACCCTGTGACACTGTTAAAAATATATCGAATACCTGAACAAGCTTAAGAGTGAAACTAAAATAAAATCCCCAGTAAGCAAGTAGATCGTGTCATCTGTTTTTTGTTGAAAACGTATCTGTATAGGAAAAATGTAAATGTTGTCATATCCGTCCAGTTAATCAATATGTAATAGCGCTCGTTTTAGTTCATGTTTAACGAGAGGTTGCGTATTCCCTCTCGATATCATAGCTGCTTCGGTGGTTACTTCAAGACAAACGAACGAACAAAGGGGTCATTACGGTCTGTGGGAGAAATGCATAGTTGATGAGAGGTCCTATGTTTAGAGCCAATCGATATCTATGGTTGGTTATTTTACAAGAGCTGTGAAAGCTAGTTGTACTTGAATTGTAGGGTAACTTATCAAAGGCTGATTATTTTCTCAATGACTTCCCATTTTACATCACACCAAATCATTTAAACATTAATATAACGAGGACACTAACATTGCAAACAACAAAGTATGAATTTCATTTTCATACGAGTCAGTGAAGGCAAGGACAGTTCTTACTCGCGTATATCTGGAGTGCCAAGGAAATGAGAGCCGACATCGAAGTCTTCGTCTGTATCTTATTAACCTTCCCATTTTTCGCGAGGTAACTTAGTCTACCGTTCTTTTTTAGAAGAACCCATCAAATGCGTTGCCAATATCCAATATAACTGATAGAAAAAATTTCTAGAAAGTTGGTGAAAAATATTATTTCCGGCACTTCAGCCAAAGAGTTTGTCTTTTATACTTCAGATCAGTAAATCTTGGACCCGCTTGCCAAAATATGTGGAATAACGCTGGAAATAACTTGATCGTTCCTGGAGAATTAACTGTTAATCCGGTGGCCAACGCAAACCCGTTGTTTACGGTTGTTCCAGGAGCAGGAGGAGTTGGAAAAATCGCTTCTCCTATATTTCAGCGATTCCGAGGTAGTTAAGGTGTCTTTGGTATTTTTTGTTTTAGAGCCAATTGCAATTGACAGGTGAAAATCTACGATACAGTGCACATCACGGCCCCAATCAGTCGTGGTAATCTACTAAAAAAATAATTGCGCTGCTCAATAACAAACCTGTTGTAAGTAATCTATTTCTACAGAGGAAATAAAACTCAAGGATAGATTGTTTGGGCCAAAATGCATCAATTGTAAACGTTTTCCCTTTTACGACTAAAAAAAAAAAAAAAGAAAAAAACAGTTTGCCGAGAAACCTGACCTATAAGCTAAAATAACCGAGAAATTAATTGGCAGTCCAAAGTTGCGCCGGGGTTGTTACAATTCATCAAGGCAACTCAGATTTTTGTGGTATTATGACAAAGATTTACGGCAATTATTTTGTTTCCTGCTTCTTAGCTTAAAATCGAGATCACGTACGCTTCCAGAGGAAAAAAAAAAGAGTTTCACTAGATCTTGATGTTTCGAAAAAACGCCGTTGGGTCAGGTGGTAAAATGTAAATGTTCTCTATAATTTCAAACAGACATATTGGTTGATTACCAAGCTGTGCCATTTGTTCTCAATCAGCAACATATAAATGACTTCATAACTGCGGTAACCCAACCAAACGGACCTATGGAGGCTGCATTCAATTATCTATTAACTCAACAGGGATCATTGCCTGCAGGCGTGGTATGTGTAGACCAGTTCTTGCAGCGAAGAAATATATGTTATCCATGTGTCCTGAACATGTAAAACCTTCAAGAAGAGTCGAACTTTAGAACATCTGATCTTACCGTATGACGGCCTTATAATGAACAACAGAGAATTCATTTATGAACCAGGGGAACGGAGGGGAGATCAGTCGTTGCCAACAGAGTATAAACAGGGACTTTAGAAAATTGATTGTTAATTAGCCGCCAAGGGGGAGAATCGTAAGAATAATAGAGAGCCCTGGGAGGGGGGGAGGAAAATCAGGTAAATTTAATCGTGAAAGAACCAAACTCCCTCCTTCCCCCACCCGGGCTAAATAATGACCATTCCCTATTTAAGATAACTAAACGTGAGGGCTCATGAGAAGCTGATGACGATGACTTGACATCATTTTGCGAGGTCACCGTCCATAGCATTCAAAAGCGTTAGGAGCAATTGATCAAATCAACTTTTTTGTAGGGGGCTAGTCCTATGTTCGCTCCTCTAAATTCACATCTTTTTTCGTATCACATATTCCCTGTTCAACTGCTGTTCGTTGACCCCCTCTATCGTTATAAACTTCACTTTTAGACAACCCTAGAACAGTTTAGATGTGTTTTGGAAGAATTATGGTTTCGAAACAGCAATGGATTTAAACATGTTTTTGTTGGTAAGTACGGAAAATAAAATAAATAAATATGTGCAGATTATCCGCCATGAAAGGCCTTGTTAGCTGGATCTTTTCAAACAGTTCCTGAGAGAACTAAGCTACCCGGCGTGCTATGACATTCTTCGATGAATGCAAAAAAAATATTCCTGCAGTCATCCCCATCAAATTCTGTGTTCACGTTTCTGTTCAACAGGCGATAAACTATTAAGGGTGAACAATTTCAAGGGATTTCACAACTGGTACCAGTTCTTGCTTGAGCAACGGAGAAACCCAACTCAGACGACGAATATCGCTTTCAACACACGCGGAAATCAGCAGGCTTTCGTGGGGAATAGACTGGTTAGTTATTAATTCATTCAGAGCGGAAATATCTACCGAAAAAGCTGTGAAGCCATACCTTCCTGCAAACCTTAAATTTAATTTCAATTGGTACTCTCTTTGTGTTCGTAAATGCAATATTGATTGATTGATTGATTGATTCATTCATTCATACCGGCGTTAAAGGAAGGTGGTGTGGGATACAAGCGTACAATGTCAATCTCTCTATTCTGCTTGAATGTTCATGCCATGTTATTCTGATACTTCTCGATAAAAGAGATGTTTTTACAAGCGTGCATGTTAAACGACAAGAAAAAGGCACTAAGAGAAAAGTGCTTCGAAATAATCCTAACTAAGCAGGCTTTCAGCGCTGGCTAAACAAGATGCCGTAACGTAATCTTAGCCTACTGCTCGTGATGTCGTAGGTGTTATGCAATTAATAGTCCGTTACTCCAGTTTTCTTCACTGAGGAATGGTGTTAGGCTGTATACCTCCGTTGGGTTTGTACCGTTGTGATCCTAATTGACACCATAAACATTTTTGTGCCCTTGACAGCCGATTGCTGAATTTTAAAAACAAAGAGGTAAATACTTAGTTTCCACTTACATTCTTATTTACAGCCATATTTTATGCGTGGACTAACATTCAGATGGAGAGGGGTGAACAAAGCACCACAGGGCAGCACCAGCTGCATGTTCGTTGGAACCAGCCCAGCATTTGATTTGGCCATGTTTACTGCTTGTGTATTGATAGGACGTGCGCCAGGAGTAGGAGTAATAGGAGGAAACGGCTATAGAGTAACAGACTGTGAATGCAACATCCTTGTACCAGCCCAAGGGTTACCGCAGAGCCTGGTACAATTTAAGACCGTCGAGAACCCACAGAATGAAAAGGTCGTTACAGCCTATCCAACCAATGTTCGATAAATGAAAGATTACCATCTTGTATTACCGCACGGGATTTATCTGGGGCATTAAAATTTTAATTTAGACGATAATGTGTGAGACAGATGTCTTGCGAACAAACGGTACACAAATCTGCATGAAATGACCCTCAACATTGGTATAGAGTAGTCGAGATCTGAAGCCATAGACAGCGACTCAACCATAATGCAACCAATTTAGGGGAAAAAAAGTTTTTCCTTTTCAGTCGAAATCAAAACGCAAATCTGAATCTAACGCCGCACCGCGAGGCATAATTTTCCATGCCGTTACTAGATAAGGATTTTATGATAATAAATGTCAAAAAAGATCGATTACGAACCTGACAACTGAAGAAATTGAGGTCAAACTTGCAACTGGGAAAAGCCTCCCTCAAACCCCATGTCCTTATAAACTGTTCTCTTTTAATCTTAAGAGCCGCTTTTTCATTAAATCTTAACAATTTGCCAAAGGCAGGTAAATTTACAATAGGACAAGGTTGTCCCAGGAACCCATTGTCCGGAGCTTCCATCTTTCATACTTACCCTCTGAGTCAACCCTGTCCCGTATCTTTTTATTTTGAAAAGCACCTCCCACGGGGCTTTTCGCGGCTGTTTATATAATAGCCAATCATAAGAGAGCTGTGGTTCTCTATTATTCACGTTACATGCAGGCCACACGAAAGTATTTCAATAATGACAAAAGCGCGGAAAGTTTACTATTTTTTTTGGGGTGTCATGCGAACGTCAGCATGTTTTCGCGGGAAATTAAAGAGCCCCCCACATATCTCAGTTCTAAGGGCTCCTGGTTGTCCCCTACTAAGTAAATTATAAGTTTGTATCTTTCCTTATGAGGGATGTGAACCACATTTGCGGAGAACGGCAACAATTTAACTTTTTCGGTCCACTCTTTTGATCATTTTGAGTGTAACTCATATTCTGCAGCGGAGAAGATATCCTCTCACTTACTATCCAGTTTGCCGACCAGTCAGAATTCGTGAATCAACGAGATCGCTGCGTACCTACACACGAGAGCGTGATACGTTTACTCATTAGTGTTCTATCTGCATTTTATGCCATGCATTACTTAAGTGAAAATAACTTACTGCGTACCTACTGCTCTTACCTCGCAAAGGACTGGAACGGAAAGAGAGCGCTGACTCTCTCCAAAAGAGGTCTAAGATAGCCATTAAGGAAACATTTCCTCAAGTAATAGAGCTGAAAACTTCGAGCAAAATTTTGATGTTCAGCTCATTTGATTTAGGAGCGACTCCCTTATGTTGAAAAACCTGATAAATGTTTTTGAATTACGAATAGGCCGGGAGGTGACTCCCAATGTTCCTCGAGTCACAGGGCGCAAGTCGTTGCGACGTGCTTGTGAAAAGTTATTACCCGGAAACAGGGTTTGGTTCTCGACACAAATCGTAAGTAATTAAGTAAGTAAAGACTTTATTTCATTAGGGTTGGCATGAAATAGCCGGAGCTAATAAACTTGTGGCCCTCTCAATAATAAATAAATAAATAAATAATAAATAAATAATAGAATAGTAGATGAGTATACTAAGCTATAAAAAATACAAGGTGAAAAAACCAAAGAATACAGATACTATAGAATCTACTAAACTATTTAAAAGATAAAATATAACATTATAATCATGTCACAATTCATCAAGTAACTTAAATAGAAAAATGATCAAGATTCTGTTGTTGTTTAAAAAATTCATTCCACAATGCTTTTTTTAAAGAGTCCACTGAATCCCTTTGCCTTACAGGCAAAGATTAAATGTTCCATGCTTTGCAAGTTGTGACTGTAAAAGTTATGCCTCTTTCTGTTTCGTGATTATACCTCGGAGAGGTTACGTTAAAATTACAGTATCTGGTTTGTCTACTGTGGATGTTACTGTTTAATTTCAGTAGATTTTTAAAATAAACAGGGATGTCACCTTGTAATCGCTTGTAAGCAATAGTACATTTCAGTCGATTAGACAAGGTTAGTCAAATTGATGCAAATACAACAGCGAATTTTTTTCTGTGAAGCAACACACCAAACGGTTTTTTTGCTAAGAGTTGTCATACCTGTTGCCTAGCGTAGAGAAAGTGACCTTAAGGACGGCATAGGGAACATCTCAAAATACGGTATACTGCACTACTCACACAGTACCAAGTGTGTAACCTGCATTATCATCCATACTGATTTACAAAAGTAAATCGCAAGTAAAAGGTGACAACGTGACAACTGTAGAACAGTAAAGAGGGCATTGGAATATTCATGTTCTCGCTCCTTCATTCAGTGTCCATTGACCAGTTCCTTCATCGGCTAGTTCCTTTATTTTCTCGAAAAGTCTTAATCTTTTAATAAAATGGCGATGGATACTAGCCAAACTGGTCAAATAATTATCAAGGATATCGCAGAACTAAATGATTTCAAAGGCGAAGGGAAACGAACGAAAAAATACAAAGCCGCAGGTAAACATCCCACGTTTTTTTTTTTTTTTTAACTCTATGTTGGCGTATAGAGTGGTATGTATCTCGCACCAATCAGAACGTCGTTTTTAACTCGTGGATACGCGATAGCGTAGAAACGAGTTGTCGTGGGCTCTTTGGGATATGCAAATTGGCGTGGACCCTTCGTAATTAGTCGGCTCCGAACTCGAGATCTATCCTTCCAAATAAGTCCGAATTCTTGGGGCCATTGTGACTGCATCGATCGTTACGATGTTTATTGTCTTTACACGGCTGTTCCGACATTTATTAAAATGAAATGGAAGAAATTACGCCGTTAGCTACTGGCGTAAAATCTTATATATATCACCGACTGGGAGAAATTACGCCGTTAGTTACTGGCTTAAAATCTTCCATATATATATGTTATTTGCCGGCTGGGAGGTCCGTATGGTGAAAAACTGTGACCGAGGTCTTGAAAATACTGCCCGAGGCCGTAGGCCGAGGGCAGCATTTTCAAGACCGAGGTCACAGTTTTTCACCATACGGACCGACCCTTAGCCGGTAAATAACATATTTATTGTTTTTAAACTTGACGAAATTCTTTCCGAAAGAACCCGAATGATTTATGGCCGTAAATACGGCAAGATCTTCCATAAACTGAACAATTTTTGAGTGAGTAAATGGTAGTTAAAATAGAGGTGATGCAAATTTAAGAGAGATGCCTCAGCGAAACATTTTCATTTCCGTAACGTTCTTCAAAATCAGTTAATGATCTAACGGAAAGCATTATTCACTCTCATCGACCATTCATTCATGTACGAAGATTTACCTCTGTTCATTAAGTAAACGGCGAGGAAAGTAATTGTGAGTAAATTCAATTTTTTTATTTTGAAGTTGTGAGAGTTTGATCGTTTTTTTGCTGTAATGGCGTGTTTAACTCTGATCTTTCCTTCACAAAAACTAATTCGAACGGCACACTCCAACGAGACACAAGGGAATGTAATGCGGCCTTTTCTCAAAAATTCCTTCAATTTCTGTTGTGCAATTTAAGGTACAAATGTTCAAATTGAACGGAATTGGAAAGACTCACCAGGAGCGTATATTTGTTGTAGAACTTAAATTAAAACCTCGCTCGCTATTTCACTATGAACAAATTGCTCGAGAAAATTCAGATATTAAATGAATGAAAGTACCATCGTTCAGTTTAACTGTAACCAAATACCTCACGTTTCAACTTTCTGGGTACTTTTTGTGAACGATTAAAATTAATTGCAGACGGTTTTTAGGCCGCTTGTCAACCAACGTAATGACAATATTGTTTATACAAATTCATTCTGAAACCAATATTTTTCTGTCAACCAAAGTGATTTGATAGAGAGAAAAGAGAGGATTCATGAGTTATTTATCGGCTTGAGGTAATGACCGACGTGTTTGCTTAACAATACTGCCCAGCCGGAAAACGAGGTATATTTATGAAAAATGACTACGAAAGTTGGGATGTACTCAGCGACTCACGAAAGCGTTACCGTGGCCCGTGGGCAGAGATAGGAAAATACTGACCGGGTAAAGAACCAATCAGATTGCAAGATTCGTTACCGTGCCCTCTAAAAAAACAATAAATATATATATCACCGACTGGGAGAAATTTCGTCGTTAGTTACTGGCGTAAAATCTTACATATACTTATCACCGACTGGGAGAAATTACGCCGTTAGTTACTGGCGTAAAATCTTATATATATATATCACCGACTGGGAGAAATTACGCCGTTAGTTACTGGCGTAAAATCTTACATATAAACACAACCGACTGGAAGAAATTACGCCGTAAGTTACTGGCGTAAAATCGTACATATAAACACCACCGACTGCAAGAAATTACGCCGTAAGTTACTGGCGTAAAATCTTACATATAAACACTACTGACTGCAAGAAATTACGCCGTAAGTTACTAGCGTAAAATCTTACATATAAACACAACCGACTGGAAGAAATTACGCCGTAAGTTACTGGTGTGAAATCTTACAATTAAACACAACCGACTGCAAGAAATTACGCCGTAAGTTACTGGCGTAAAATCTTACATATAAACACTACCGACTAGAAGAAATTACGCCGTAAGTTACTGGTGTAAAATCTTACATATAACACTACCGACTGGAAGAAATTACGCCGTAAGTTACTGGCGTAAAATCTTACATATAAACACAACCGACTGGAAGAAATTACGCCGTAAGTTACTGGCGTAAAATCTTACATATAAACACTACCGACTGGAAGAAATTACGCCGTAAGTTACTGGCGTAAAATCTTACATATAAACACCACCAACTGGAAGAAATTACGCCGTTAGTTACTGGCGTAAAATCTTCCATATAAAGACTACTGACTGGGAGAAATTACGCCGTTAACTACTGGTGTAAAATCTTCCATATAAACACAACCAACTGGAAGAAATTACGCCGTTTACGACATTTTTGTTCTTTTCCGCGTTAATACTCTTTCCTTTGTAAAAATGTAGACATCACTTGCAATGTTTCAATTAATCCACCCACCCCCAAAAAATAACTCTTGCATGCATAGCATGCATATGTTTTTTTAAGTTTATCCCAAGTGTATTTAGGTATCACCTAGGAAGCCTGAGAATAATTTTTTTTTTGTTGTGGAGATATTCATGTTAGTAACTATTTTCCCTTTGTCGATAAACTTCGATATACCCTTGGATCGATAAAAGGACATGTGATAAGGACATGTGAAACCCAATGACTGTGAAAGTAATCGATATTTTAATGGCTATAATTATCGTTGATATTTGAAACTAAAAGGACAAGTCTTTTCACGCTTGGATTGCTAAGAGAAAGAAACTTTAAGTGCATGTTCTTAGTCAATCGATATCTCAGTGCATCACCAGGGTTTATATTTTGTTCCTGAGTAAATTACGTTCGAAGTTTATTTCGATAAATGGTTATGCAAAGGCTACATTGTACATACATTCCTCACTATATTATGTTCTAGGGGCTGATATTTCATAAAAAAATTTTGAAACCATTACTACTTACAACTGGTTGCATTGTTAATTATTTTCTTTCACTTCCTGAGGACTTCCCGCTCTAGACTGGAACTTTTAAATATTAATGGCATGATCAAGTAAAAATTCTTACTTGGAGCGCAGGAATTTTTAACTCCAAGAACCTCGGTGAAAGAACGACCAATTCTGACAGATGTATAATTGGTGTACAAAGAGAGCGATCTTTAACATGAAAATCTTGGTCTTTGTTTTGCTGACTTTACCTTATGACGCGAGGTACATTTCTTTCCTTTCATTTTGTATATGAGAGGGGCCCATTGAATGGCTCAGCTAGCATTTATTACTCCAGATTTTAGACGTTTTTCATCAACAGTTAGTGTAAACTATGCTTTAGACTGAAACTATGGTCTCTTTCTTTCCTCCTATGTTCAGTGCAAGTTATTTAAAAGTTTATTAATATTCGAGTCTTGTAGCAGTGACTACTCTCGAACAGTTGACTTGGTGTATCAATAATGTTCTATTCGAGAAGTTTGTCATTTAGATGTAGAAGGACGATATTCCTCAAATAACATCAAACAACGTCTTTTCCTTCTATGTTCAAGGTCTCTCAACCTTGGAGGTCACGTTTGTCAAAAAATGTGGAACGACGCTGAAAATAATCTGATTATTCCTGGAGAATTAGCTGTTAATGAGGGAAATAACTTAGATCCAGTGTTCACATTGGTGCACGGAGCAGGGGCTCAGGGACACCAAAAACTCCAAAGCGAAGAGTTCACCCGATTTCATGGTATAATAAATAGCTCTCAAGTGTCATTTTCATACAGAACCTTATAGGGAACTTTTCAATGACGGATGGACATTTTCAATTACATTTTTCAATGCTATCACCGCTCGATAGGAGTGCTAGAAATTTACTTATTAAGACTGACGAGAAAGTTCTCAACTTTTCACTTTCCAATGCATATGTTCCTTAACGTGCAATGTTGATCTATATTTCACAGAAATGATGCGGTCGTAGATTGAAAGATTCTTGATTGAGACATAGAAGACTAGCAAAACAAACAATCGTAAATGGCTGTCGCTTTAAAAGCGGATACAATTTTCTATGTTCTAAACAGTTAAAGCGACCATGTTAAAATAGGAAATGAAGATAATTGTTCATTTAAGCAGGTTGGAGTAGCTTAGAGATAGGTTGGCGTTAACATTTGATAATCGCGTTTTTTTTTTATTTTTTGTCTTACAGATATATTGGTCGACTATCAAGCTCAACCTTACATTCTTAATCAACAGCACATAAATGACTTCATCAGTGCAATAACCCAACCCTGTGGACCTGTGGAAGCGGCATTCAGCTACCTGAAAACTCAAGCGAACGCACTGCCTGTTGGCGTGGTATGCTTTATGCTTGTCAAACTCATGATCTAAAAAGTCAATAGGCTGGTTTCTTTTCGACGCAAGATTATAAGATAACCTTTTACCATGCTTATAGCTGTATATTTCTATGAAAAAAATAGTTAGCAATCGTAGCATCAAAACAAAGCAGAGAGTTAAAAGTATATTATTGCCAAAGTGGGAAATATACATTTCGCTTTCATGGTATTCAAGTTGTGATAACTGTTACGTTGACTCTTTCGTTCAGACAACCTTAGATCAGTTCAGAACCACCTTGAAAAGTCTGTGGTTTACCAACAGCAATGGCTTTAGGCATGTATTTGTTGGTAAGTAAAATTTCTTAAAGGTCTTCGTAGGTCTATCACAGTTCCAGACTTGACATAATCAGCTACGAAAGCTACAATCTACAAAGCTTAACATCCAACCTAACCCAATGCTGTGTTCACGTTTCGCTTTCTTAGGGGAACAGTTCCAGCACAAAGTCCCAAACGAAATCCGTTACAAAGGATTTCAAAACTGGTACCAGTACTACACCGAAGAAAATAGACCGAAAATGATAGAGAAACAGAATCCACCGACATTCGTTATGGACAAAAGGGTCTGTTTTTCTGCAGTTAATTTATTTAGACGGAAACTCTTTAGCTGTATGTGCTTTTTGATGTTAAAATTCTGGCAATCTAGAACTAAGCAACCGATCTCGCTTAGAATTGAACAGGTTTTTTTTAACCCAATCAGCAAAAGCTTCATATCTTTTCTTAAAAAAGTGTTCGCCATAAGTATCATCATCTTTAGTGCTTTTCCGAATTAAATTTCTTCCTCTGAAACATTGACGAACACAAAAGCCATTTTGAAATTTAGCGCTGTTCTATAATTACCTCGCGCGAGGTGAGTATAACAAGATATGACGCAATCCTCGACCAATCAGAGCACGCGAAAATAAACAAATTAAAACGCGGGTGCGCAAATAATGCAGCAACTCTTTGAAATATAAAATTTTTAATGAAAGATCCCTAAGTTTCTAACTTTATATTTCATTGGTAGCCAACCTTTATAAGGGATCTTAAATTCAAATGGAAAGGGAAGAGTAAGCAAGGATCTACAGACAACCGTATGTTTGTTGGAACCAGCCCATCTTTCGAATTGGCCTTATTCACCACTTGCCTCCTCAAAGGACGCGGAATTGCTGGAGGAGTACATCCACCTCCGGGACCGTATAGGACAACCAACTGTGATTGCACCATCCATGTGCCTGGAATTGGGGACAGCACAGTAGAAGTAAAGACCGTCGAGAACCAAAATGGCAAGGTCGTTACAGCTGTCCCTACAAATGTCCATTAGAAGTAAGATTATGGTTCGGTTCTATAACTCTAGGTTTATCAAGAACTTTTAATATTTTAATATAATTGGAAGCAATTTGCGAGGATTGAAGTTACCCTTTGCAATATCCCTCGAGATGAAGGATGTCGTTCTTGTTGTCAATCGATTACGGTGTACAAACTAAGACTGGTTCAGAGACTCATGCCAGCAACAACTTGTCATTTCGTGAATTTGAAAATAACTTATGAATAGCTTCTTTTTTTTTTTTCAGATAAACGGCACACAAAGATAACAGCCGAGACCATTACCAAAGATTTCCGAATTATTATAAACACTACATATCACAAAATAAGTAATCAGTTCCGGGATCTCGTTCAGCAGATAAAAATGAAATAGCAGGTAAATGTTCCTTGGTGGTTGCTCACCGCCATTTCTTACCTGCCTGCTTTTTCTCTTGCTGCTTCTAACCGTGAGCCCGGCACAGGCTACACAAAAGCAAGAACCCATCACATATGGGCTGCTGACAAGACTAATAAACGATTTATAACCTCAAACCAGTGATAAAATAAATAAACATTTGGCTCCTAACCAGTTAAGAGATCTTTTTGTGTGTCAATTTAATGTCCTGGATGCGAAAAAAAAGTTCGATCACCAATTTTCTCCGTATGGAAAGTGAGTACATGGTAAATCATTTTTTTAAATTTTAATTCAAAAGGAACCATTTTATAAAAAAAAAGGACTCGTGGCTCTAAAGTACTTCTGACGACTTTGGGTCTCCATCTAATCACCTGGTGCCAAAGTAAGATTTTCAGCTTATTTCCCAAAACCGCTTGGGAGCTATCTAAACTGATGCGATGAAAACAACGAGAAAATCAATCGCATCAACTTAATTACAAAGCAGTGCACACGGATCGGTTTTTTACAGGAACCTGCCGCACCTTTTAGGAACAGAATACTCTCTGAAATATTGATTAACCTTAATTGACTGTAAAACACTTGCGATATAGAATCCGCACCTTTTAGGAACAGAATACACTCTGAAATATTAATTAACCTTAATTGACTGTAAAACACTTGCGATATAGAATTATAAAGAGATGACTGTGGTAACAACTCTTCACGACACTCTTTAATTGCCTTTTAAGTGGTTCTTTCAGTAACTTGCTCATTTCTAACCTTTCTTTGAATAGTTTTCATTTCCGGACTAGAATGTCCGCCGAAAAAGATTATAAGGAACGACAAACAGGCAAATAGGGAAGCTCGAAGGAAGAAGGATGACCACAGAAGGCTCTCACTGATATATTAACTTTTAAGTATCAGTGGTAACGTTCATAGAAATAATTTTGTTATGTTGAGACACTTGTCTTAACATAACACACAGTTGGTGAACTTCATCAAACCGTTGCATCGAAATGAGGCCATTCTATACGTACCGACGAAACCTAAAGACTGTGAAGGTAATCGATATCTTAATGGCTAAAGGGTAAATATCTTAAAAAAAGGGATATCATATCAGGAAAGGATTAATTACATAAAGTAAAGTTTAATGCTACTCAATGCTTGTTATTTCGAACGACAACGAATCCTTAGTTCCTCGAAAAATATCACATTCTAATTGCCTCGTTCAAATTCTAACAGCGAGATTACCACTCCTTATGGCTGCTCTCCTCAGTGAATAAAATGTTCATCTTTTTATGTTAGCTCCCATTGTTTTCATGTCACTTCAGTTTATTTAAATATTTATAAATCGAACCGGCAGAAATTGTCACTAAGTGCATAGGAATTTTACCTCCAAGAAAGTCGGTGGTTGAACGACCAATTGTTATAGACGGACATCTCGTGTACTAAGAGGAAGATCATTAAGATGAAAGTCTTCGTCTTCATTTTGTTGACTTCACCGTATGTCGCGAGGTAATTTTATTTCATTTCGTGTGTGAGCGAGACCCAACAAATGGCCTAAACTAGCATTTATTAAACCAAATCAACGCTTGCACGTCCGTGTATAAAACTGCTTTAAGTGAAGTTATCACCCCTTTCCTACCGACTTTTTCTTTTGTTCAGAGCAAGGTAACAGATTCTTCGTATTCCAGTCCTTTAGCAGTGACTCCGCTCCACTATTTGAACTTAGTGTATCAATAATTTTACATTTGAAAAAATTTTCTATTTATAGAAAGGTGGACAATATTTTTCAAATTACTTCAAAAGACATGTTTTCCTTCTATTTTTAAGGTCTCTCTACCTTGGAGGTCATGTTTGTCAAAATATATGGGATAGTGCTAAAAACAATCTGCTGCTTCCTGGAGAATTAGCTGTTAATGAGGGAAATTACCAAAACGCGTTGTTCATGTTGGTGAAAGGAGGAGGATCCCGAGGAGATCAAAAACTTCAAAGTGACGTCTTTACCAGCTTCCATGGTATACGTAATTGTTTTGTTTTTGTTTTTTTAATAACCTTTTTTCACAAACCTTACTGATAAATTTTCGATGAAGAAATAAAAATAAAAGCAGAATTCTTCGATGCGATCATCGCTAGAAATGGTAGTTAAAAATTTACTTGTAAAATGAAACATCATTTATGTTCATTCATTTTCTTACTGTTGGACACAAAAAAATTTATGTTCTGCAATGTGTATTTTTTTACAGTTTTCTTTTAGTCGATCCACATTTCATAGGCTTGAAATGAGTCTAGTTGTTTTGAGAGGTATGGAAAATGTTCATTACATCATACAAAACTGAAGTCACTGAAAGAGCGTGAACGAGTTAAATATTTAGAAAAAAAGGAAGCAACCTATTTTCATTCTAACCAGCTGAAGTGACCATAAAAGAGACAGTGTTGGGTAGACGTTGACAATATTTTAAAAAAAAAATTGGGTCAACTAATTTATTTATTTATCGAGTTTGTCGTGTTCAACAGATTTATTAGTTGACTTTCAAGCTCCCCCCCCGAGTTTTGATCAGCACCATATAAATGCCTTCATCACCGCAGTAACCCAACCAGGCGGACCCGGGGAAGCGGCATTCAACTACTTGAAAACTCAAGCGAACGCACTTCCTCATGGCGTGGTATGTTTCACAGTCAGTTGCTTACCTATTTTTCTTGGGGGTGAAATTAAAAAAGCTCCCTGGTGACGCAAAGACGTAATTTAATGCGTTCGAACTCGTCACTTCTCAAAGCAAGATTGCAAAATAATATTTCATACATTCAGAGAAATTCATGGGTATTATGTTTGACAAAATGTAGCTGTTTTAAGTAGTATTAGACGAGAAAATAATGGAAAGTAATAAACGAAAAAAGAAATCAGTGATTTCAGCGAAATACATTTCGTTCATTCTGTCACTCTTTTTTAACTTTTTGTGATATTAATTTGCAGTATACTACCATGCCACAGTTTAGACATCTCTTAAAACAAATGTGGTTCTTGAACAGCCACGGCTTTAAACATGTTTTTATTGGTGAGTTAACTTCTCAAAAATATTATTCCATGGTCTCTTTCAAGGCTCTCCGTCTAAAAACTCTGCTCGAGTCTTATTCAATTCCCGTTCTCTAAAACTGCGCTAAAACGCTAAAATTGTGCAAACCTAAGTACATTCCTTCTTGTCAATCAACTTGGGTGTTTATGCTTGTGCCAATCGCAGGAAATAAATTTCCAGCTTCCAACGAATACAACGGATTTCACAACTGGTACCAGTTCTACACGGAAGAAGTTAGAGGCAAAACAGGGATAATCTGTCTACCGAATGTCGAGGCGAACAAACGGGTCAGTTTTCACATTAAATAGTTATAGACGTGAACTTTATGCATCGAGATATGGCCTCTGCAGTTCATCTTAGAAATCGCATCAAAGATGAATACTAGTAGAGGATATTCTCCGAGTGTAGGAAGTCAAAAGAATATGAACGGTTTAAAAGAAGCTTGAATTTTTTGAGTAAATTCTTTTTAGGATGGTGCTTTAAAACGTGAAATTATGATTCCGTACGTATCATTTCATCTGTAGCCTTATTTCCTGAGTGATCTCTTGTTCACATGGAGAGGGGCAAAAAAAGCCAACCCGAGCAGCATGTTTGTTGGAACAAGCCCAGCGTTTGATTTGGCCTTGTTCACCACTTGCTTCCTTAAAGGACGCGGAGATGACGGAGGGGGATTTCCGAATGGACCGCCAATATCAACCTACTGTCAGTGCGATATAGATACGCCTGGGATCGGAACGAGCAGAGTAGAGGTTACAACCGTCGAGAACAGTAATGGCAAGGTCGTCACAGCCTATCCAACAGCTGTTTATTAGAGGTAAGACTGAGTTATAACAAGACGTTTATCCAGAACTCTCATACAAACGATAGATGCTTTATTGTGACGGATAATAAAAATCGTTACAACAAACTACCACCAGTGGAACACATCAACCAAAACTAAAAGTTATAGTAGAAGGGGGAAGCGTGTTTGTTTTCTCATGGTCGCCTTGGACTTATAATGGTATATTTAGAACACAGGGGCTACTATCTATAACAGACAAACGCTTAATCACTAGTAGCAGCTGTGCCAAGAAAAAATAGGAAAAATGAAATAAAACGAAACAAGAAAAATAAGAGCAAGAAAGAAAAAAAAGGAACAAAGAATTCGAGAGAAGGAAGAAAACGTAAAAATAACTGATCAATCAAGATCAACTTCTTTGATATCTTTAAGGAAACTCATGCAATTTAAGGGTTTTATCTCGAGACCTTTAATGAACCAGGAAACGAAAAAATGTTACTTGTTCAAAATCAACTTCAATTTTACTCTTGGCAAAATAAACCATGTCAATGACTAAGACTGGTTCTCATCCAACAGCTCGTATGAATCGCCTCTTTCCCTTTTTGTTAGCAGAAGATTAACTTAAATATTAAAAACAAGAACAGCGTTTTTAATTTATAGATGGTAGGTTTCGTTTAGGGACTTTCGGCGCGCTCGTAAAGACACTTCGCAATGTGTCAGTTTATTGTTTGTGAATTGTGTGAGGATGTCAAGGATTGGCAGTTTGTTTGTTTTATTCTCTTTTTCTTCCCGAGTGAAGCGCAAATAAAGCAGTTATTTGTATCGATGCTGTGAGGCTACCGATCCAAACTGTTAAAGGTCTAGTCCATGAAGCGCAATGAAAATGAAAAAATGTAATATCCTTATCGTCACGTTAAATTTGAAACAAATGCTATCAACGACGCCGTTTTTATGAATTTTGTCAAATAACTGTATACTTCTTCTCACTCTTCAGATAAATGGCATTTGAGGATGATGAAAGTTGTCAGGGTCATTGTAAACCAAACATCATATAAGGCCAGTGTAGTCCGGTCTAAGCTCTTTGTCATTGGAACCGAGCGATAGTGAGGGCCAACGACATCTTTCGGTTGCCTTCCGCCATTTTTTCCTCCCGCTTTTGTCTTCTCTCTTCCAGTCAAAGGAGAACCTGGAACAGGCTACACAAAGGCTATTCATGATTTAAAACCTCAAACCAAACGGTAATGAAATAAAATCAAAGGTCTTTGACCATCAATGGGTTAAAAAGTCTTTTTTGCGCCTTATTAATCACTTGATGAATACATGGAAAACAGTGCGCGTTGTTTTGAATGGAGAAAGGCAGAGGTTGCTCGTCGCGGAATCGATCCTTCTGAAAAGTGCGCATGATATAATAATGGTGATTGCAACTCGCTTTAAACGTAACCGCTAGGTCATATCTTAATTCAAAACATGCCCATCCATTGTCACAACACCAAGTGAGATCCTAAATACGCTTGACAATAATTTTTTTTTTAGCGCGCTTTCCAAATGCGAACAATATAGACCCCATCTCTAAACGTCTCAGTTTTGAGAGAAATTGAAATATCAATAATAATTATTAATAATAATAATTGTAATATAAATAATGTTGTAAACCTATAATTCATCCCAAAACTGAGACGTTAAGGGGTGGGCTCGTTTTTTTGGCTGACATGTGAACCAATAGGAAGTAGCGTAATATGCAAAAACTCTCGATTACTTTGAGCTTCGTACCAAAGAGCTATTTTAAAAAATACTACACATAAATTAATTCAATCCCTTTGATTCTAAGTTCTCAAAAGAGAAGGCTTAACTTTACCAAAATTCAATTTTGTTTAATTTCTTGAAAATGACACGAAAGTGTGGCCAAAATACTCTTTGAAGGAGTTATCTTCAACCGGCATGAAAAAGATTTCCAGTTGCTGCAAAGCTTGTGTGTAAGGGTCACTGAAGCTAACAAAAACATCAAAGCGAGACCAAGAGACAACCCAGTTGTGGATTTGTGGTAAAGCAATCTATTTGTCAGCCGCCCATTGCAAGGAATTTTTTTTTCTTTAAGTTACGGTAGGTAAAGGAATTTGAGACTGTCTTTAAATGGCTATACGTTCGTTATTCAAACATCTTTTCTTTCCTCAGTGCGTGGTTCAATAATCGCCCTCTTCTTGACTTGTCAAATATTTCCTATCAATTCAAAACGGCAGGTCGGGATTTGATATATCTATGTGTTCATTTGTCGAATCAAGATAACGATACACGAGGAAAATATCAACTTAACCCTCTGTTCACAGCACCTTAAGAAATGAATAGGAAACAATATGGAGAATGTTCATAGTGACGGTAGAGTGTAAAAGGTTAAGACAACACCCTCTGCAGATATATGGAAATCAGTGGAAATCAGAAAACAATAGGAAAAAGTGCATAATGTTTTGGTTATTTAGTTAGGCTACATCATCAAAACGTCCTCTATACGAGTCAAAGTACTCAATGGATAACATGTACGATGTCCAATCATAAGACAACTGAACACAGGCAAGATTGGGTCTCGAGAAGAACATTTCGTGATTAGTCCACCGGGAGAACAATGAAGACAGTGTTTTCTTGTCCCTTTTGTTTATGATTTCTATTGATGAAGAAATTTGAGCAAAACAAAGTATCATGCCATGCATGACATTTTCATATAGCAATGTGCGCAAATTTATTCGCTTCACTCATTTACTGCGTTGCTGAACGAAGCATCAAGAAATTTTGAAGTTTGCAGCTTTCCTAACGATCTCTCTTCACGCATCGCCCACAGGTAAGCTGAAAGATTGCAACAAATAACTAGCCGTAAGTCTCCTTTCGAGCATCTGACCTATCTGCAACGTAATCATTATAAAATTTATAACTCCTCACTGTAAAGGACGCTAAAAATATTCTAACAGCCTAAACGTGAAAAATAATCATTAAAAATTTATAGCATTCTGCTCACTGTAAAGGACACCAAAAATATTCTAATAGCCTAAACGTACAAACTACAACTCACAACTGCCGGAGAAGAATTGAACTTCTCAAATGTAATTTCTCGAGACATAATTTCGTTAAACGTTATGAACGGTTAGATTAGAATGTCGCTGATACAAATTCATAAATTGACAACATGGGGAATTTTGCTCCAAGTGAGATAGTTTTTCCTTACTCCTGATGCCAAATTACCATTGTGAACAGTTGGCTCAGGAAACGTACCCATTTATAAGAATTTATTGCCCGAAGTGCGAGATGAAGGTTCTCAAAATTTATTTTCAAGTTTTGGCGCTTTGCGCTGGAAAGGCGGTGTCCGCCCAAACATCAAGGGGTCAAGAACAAAACCGATTTAAGCGAGTAAGACGTCCAGTGGACTTCACTTGTCGCTCAATACTTCTCATCCAAATAGGAAAATTTTTACCAGAAACTTGTGAAACTAAAACCATCATTTTAATATACTGAATGACAAAATATGCTTGAGGTTTCTAAAGGACGCCGAGTTTATGGATCACTTACTTTCAATCAGCATAATCTATTTGGGCGCCTAACTTGCCTTAAATCAGAACCATATTAACCAATCGACCGTTTAGTTTCCACATGAACGTAATAACTGTATACAAATGTGCTCGACACTGCAGATCGAGGCCAAAGAATTTGCCAATGAGAGGTGATCTTTTCACTTCTATGTCTTCCTACCATCCACTTGAGCTACATTCCACGGACGAAAAAAGGGAGCCCTTTCTGTAGTTTTAAATTGTGGTCCACCCCCTTCCTCCCGCGCGGATATTAAAAAAACAAATTAGCATAGATTAATAATTCAGCACCACGACTTAAAAGCTTTTTTCCTCTAAAGGCTAAGTTTTTGAGATGATTGTTCAATAAATGCTTCATGTGTGCTCTGATAAGCAATCGTACAAGTTGAAGACGATTCCTTCTCTATTCGATGTGGAATCAGGGTTTGGTGCCAAGTTTTCTATTTATATCTTTACAGAGGTATTTCAATAAAAAAGTTACAAATCAGTGAATCGGATCATCACACAAGAGGTCATAAACAATTTTTGGCTCCATAACAATCAAGTAAGGTTTAATTACAAAACATTAGGCATACAACATTCAAAGTCACTGCGGTGGTAACCGTGCAAATTTAAGCTGGGCTTCTAACTAATACAAATGTAAAATACTCTATGCATTTTGTTCATAAAATGTTCCAATTTTCTTGCATGAGCAAGGGAATAAAAGTGGGGAAAGGTCTTTCTTCATTTCTATCAACACTATCGAATTAAAGTGTCATCGCGTCATTCAAGGTAATCCTTTTCAACCGCATTTTTCAAGCATGACGGACCTATTTGCATCAAAACCTTTTAAAATCACTGAGGTAAGAAGTCTGAAGAACCAAGAATACAAAAGAAACCCCTTATCTCTCCTTCCCCGCCAATTACAAGCTATTTTTTTCTAAAGAACGGTTAAGAAAACATTAGGATTGGGCTAATCTGTTAAAAATATTCTTTGGTAATAAAAAAAATTCCATTCCTTCGTACATATGGCGGTAGTTGAAAGCCCATCGTTTTTTTGTCTCTGATAACTGCAGTAAAGGTTACAAGAAAGCATCATTGACTTCCCACCCACTCGGCCTCCACTCAGCCCCAACTTTTCCCCTCCCCTCCCTCTCTCATCAGGGAGAAAAGTCATACTTTCACGACTACTATTTTTGAGACGTGGCAAGAGCTGTGACGCAGCTTTTTAAGAATCGTGCAGAATTTGAACTTCATTTCTGTTTTCTATTCTAATCGTAAACGCATATCTTGTTTTACAAATCGCACTGGGACTTTGACTTGGTAATAAAAAGCCGTCATTTCATAAATAAATAAATTCAAGTGATTGACCCCGGTTTCAGAACCATGTTTACTTAAATAACGATAGAAAGGAAAAGAAACTCAGGTTCCTGGATTTCAATTTCAGAACTACCGCTTTAATTTACTTTAATTTAATCGCTATAACTTATTTTATTGAGAGGAGATCTTAACTAATAGAAACAAAACCAGTGAAAGAGTTTCAAAATGAGGATCTATCATTGATGGTGGCCACATCATGATTCTTGCTCCTCAGCTAAAACAATGAAAACCAAGATTGTCTACCTTTTCACCTTACTTGCTTTGGCATCCATTATCCATGGCCGTCACACGTCCTCGAACCATCGGTACGAGAAACTCGACGAGTCTAAGCCCGTGGAATCGGTGGAGCCCGAAGAGCTCGAGGAAATCAAGGATCCCGAGGAATTGGAAGATCAAGAGGAACTCGAGGATCTCGAGGAAGTCGAAGAATTCGAAGGACCTCCGCCTGAGGAGACTGGTAGGTGTAATATAAGGGGACTAAATATTGGGGGAAAATATGACTGCTTTAATACTTCCTCAAATGAAGCAACAAAGTGAAAATCGCGATAACTGCATCATTTTCTTCGTAGATAAAATTCAAAATTTTTCTCACGTGTAATCCTTGGTAAGATAAACCCTGACCGGTCAGTCATGGAAGAGGAAAAGAAAGACGACCCTTTTTGTTAAACAAGTAGACAAATTATTCTATGATTCAGTGCTGTGAGGTAGCTGATGGAAAAACAAAATATAGTAAGATCCTCAGGGCAAAGAAATTATCTCTCAACTATTCATTTATGAATATGTCCAACAAAACTAGGCGAACTTAAGATTTTCTGTAAAATTCAAAGTCTTGGTTTGTTCGTTTTCTTTATGGACTGAAACGTCAACTAAAAAGTATATTAAATCTGACTGACTAAGATTTATTTGAAAGCATATTTGTTATATCATGTCATATTGATGAAATCTTATGTTCCTGATTTTTTTTCTTTATCTATCTACAGAGGAGTCTTCTGCAGGTAATTATACGTTGATAAACCTTCACTAGATCATTTTAAGTTGTTGAATTATCTTTTCTGTATGTTCTGAATAACCATTTCTAGATCATATGAACGCCAGCAAGCTTAAGAATTGCTAGAACAATACCTCATGCGTGGCCGGGCTTACATACTTGCCACAGTGAAAAAAACTGATATCTTAGAAGACACCCAAACTGAAAACCTTAGAGGCACAAATGATCTTACGACTGGAACACAATCTGAGTTGAATTTTTAAGTAATATAGTTGAAAAGAAAATTGGCTGATTTTGACTGTTTTAATTTTCTGACCAACTAATATGTTGTCTTAACAAAGTGGCAATTTCTCTCAAACAAGCTGACAATCGATCGCTGAAGGGAAAGGAAGAGCGTGGATGTAATTATCTATTAATTCTGGGATACAATCATTTTTTTATTTATTTCCTGTCTTTTTTTTATCCACAGAAGAGCTTTCAGAAGGTAATTTCACCTTAGTGTATTTCATAACAACATGACATTATCGAATTGTCTTTTTTTAATACATCATAACGAATAATAGTTCGAGATTACGAGAGATAAACTGTATGCCATATAATAATAGGTGGATTTTACAGAAAGAAGCTTAAGTTTGACCTGTGCACCTGAAAAAGAACTTGTGCATGAAAGTGTGAGAGTCCTTTATGTTTCGGGAAATGAAAGCCAAAACGAATACCCAAGAAGCCTGAGCTATCTTATGATTAGGATATCATCCGCGTTAAATTCAAATACTAGAGTAACTTAGTGGAACAGAATATAAATCCATTGATAATGCCATTTCTAATCAAAAGTTACACCGTCTTACCAGCGTGGCATTCGAAAGGACAGTTTTTATATCCGTCTTAAGATCAATTACTGAGGTGCTTTGTGAAGCACAGACTAATTATAATGGGTTAACCAGATCTATGACACAAATGCCCTCTGACCCTTTCAATCCCAAGATCTAAATCAGTCATTTTCCTTCTTGTCTACTATACTTTTCTAATACTTTTAGTTTTAAGAGTTTTGCATTAGACAAAAAAATAATCCTCTCGTTGAAATGCTTTTGTGTTCTTATAACTTGTGCGCTTGATATCGAAAGTGGAGGGATAAATCATGTCTTAATCGTCCTCAGGAGGGAAAGAGTTCAGTGAAGGATTCAATGCTTTTGTTATTTTCTTGTACAGGAGGAGTATGCAGTGTTGAGGCTGAGGATCGCAACGATTGCGGATGGATCGGTATCGATAATACCACCTGCGAAAACAGAGGTTGTTGCTATGACGAAACAGTGTCGGATACAGCATGGTGTTTCTATCCAACTGGTTTGTAACTATTAAACCATGGATAAGTAACTTAATAATCAAAGAAAAGTAAAGTGCGCTAGATCTAGCTTGGGAATGGATATTTTGGTCTCAGCCTAACTAAATCCATTGTATAATTAAGCCTCCGAACACCAAATGGTGGCGTGGCTCACAGCTCTGATTTGTAGTAACTTATTGGGTTCGACTAAATGGTCACAATCTATCTACATGTATTCCCAAAGCATCCAGACCAAAGCAGGTCAACCCGTGAGATTTTAGTTAGCCTGCGGGATTCAAAGCTCTCGCATAAAATCGAGGCAAGTGGTCAGCCAGTCCAAGATAACGCTAAAACCCTGAAATCGCCCTGTAATAAGAAAGAAGCGACATGAATAGTATGCATTCTCCTAACGTCCAACACAAAGAGCTTATACGTAGTCAAACATTCTGGTACTCTATTCCAGTCATCACCTATGGCAAGTGCGTCGCACACATGCGAAATCAAACAGGAAATTTATCATATAAAATAGATCAATCTAAGAAGAAAGATGTGTTTCTAAACCTTCTCTTTTTCTAAAATATAGTACAATATAAATCTTTTGTTAAAAATGTGTTGTTCAGATCTCTCCTTCTGTCAATTTTTCAGACAACAAATGTTATGGTATTGACCCAGTAGAAAGAGAAGATTGTGGCTATTCTGGGATACAGAGAGAGGAGTGTGAAAACGAAAGAGGATGTTGTTTTGATCATACTGTGCCAAATGTACCTTGGTGCTTCAAAGGAACTGAGCCACCAGCCGAAGGTAATTTCACCTTTGTATTTCATAATAACATGACATTATCGAATTGTCTTTTTAAAATACATCATAGTGAATAACATTTTCGAGATTACGAGAGATTAGCAGTATGCCATATAATAAAGAGTGGATTTTGCAGAGAGCAGCTTAAATATAACCTTTGCATCTGAAAAAGAACTTGTGCATGAAAGAGTGTGTGAGTCATTTATGTTTTGGGAAATGTAAGCCAAAACGAATACCCAAGAAGCCTGAGTGATCTTATAATTAGGACATCATCTGCGTTAAATTCAAATACTAAAGTAACTTGGTAGAACAGAATTTAAGTCCATTGGAAATGCACTTTCTAATCAAAAGTTACACCGTCTTACCAGCGTGGCATTCGAAAGGACAGTTTTTATAACCGTCTTAAGATCAATTGCTGAGGTGCTTTGTGAAGCACAGACTAATTATGATTGGTTAACCTGATCTAAAACACAAATGCACTCTGACCATTTCAATCCCAAGATCTAAATTAGTAATTCTCCTTCTTGTCTTCCAGACATTTGTCATATTTTTAGTTTAAAGAGTTTGGCTTCAGATAAAAATAAAATAGTCCTCTAGTTAAAATGCTCTTGTATTCTTATCACTTGTGCGCTTGATATTGAAATTGGAGGGATAAATTGTGTCCTAATCGTCCTCTGGAGAGAAAGAGTGCATTGAGAGATTCAATGCTTTTTTATTTTCTTATACTGGAGGAGTATGCAGTGTTGAGGCTGAGGATCGCAACGATTGCGGATGGATCGGTATCGATGAGGCCACCTGCGAATACAGAGGTTGTTGCTATGACGAAACAGTGCCGGATGTAGCGTGGTGTTTCTATCCAACTGGTTTGTAATTATTAAACCACGGATAAGTAACTCAATAATCAAAGAAAAGTAAAGTGCGCTAGATCTAGCTCGGCCAAACGAAAACTATTGTATAATTAAGCCTCCTAACACCAAATGGTGGCATGGCTCACAGTTCTGATTTATAGTAATTCATTGGGTTCGACTATATGGTCACAATTTATCTACATATATTCCTATTCTTTCTGTCCAAGATGACGCTGAAACCCTGAAATCGCACAGTATCCCGAAAGAAGTGACACGAACAGTATGCATTCTGCTAACGTCCAACACACAGAGTTAAAACTCTTAAAGTCATTCTATTCCAAACAATCATCACCAATGGCAAGTGCGTCGCACACATGCGAAATCAAACAGAAAATTTGTCATGTAAAATGTACCAATGTAAAAAGAAAGATGTGTTTCTAAACCTTTTTTTTTTTAGCAAAAATACAGTCTTTGTTAAAAATGTGTTGTTCATATCTCTACTTCTGTCAATTTTTCAGACAACAAATGTTATGGTATTGACCCAGTAGAAAGAGAAGATTGTGGCCATTCTGGGATACAAAGAGAGGAGTGTGAAAACGATAGAGGATGTTGCTTTGATCACACTGTGCCAAATGTACCTTGGTGCTTCAAAGGAACTGAGCCACCAGCCAAACCAGCCAATGACCCTTCCACTCTTGGTAAGGTTTTTGTTGGAGATTAAAAGAGCAAAAATCGCCAACAATGAAAAAAATAAATAGAAAAAGGTCCTAAAGTTTGGAATTCTTCCCTAACATTAATCACTAGTTTGATTTGCTTCTCTAATATTAAAAAAAAAAAAATGATTGAATTTTTCGTGAAATGAAACCCTGAGACAAGTTTCAGTAAAGTTTTAGTGAAGTTTTAATTCAAAAATAGGCGACATATGCGATGTCGAATCTGAGGATCGCAACGATTGTGGATGGTACGGCATCGACGAGGCTACTTGCGTGGTCAGGGGCTGTTGCTACGACGACACAAAGCCAAAAGCAAAGTGGTGTTTCTACCCAACAGGTAAAGAAAGCGGTTGAATACTGTAGTTAACCTTGGGAAAAGGATGTGACAAAAAGATCAAGTTCTTAGTCATGAATATTTAAATTCGACGGTTGGCCGTTTGCTGTACTATCTGAGATAAAGAGAACGTATTTGCAAATTAAGTCATATTTTAATTCGGTTCAAATACGATACGTCTTTTTCACTCTGGTTGAATAAACAGTGTCTGCAGAATTCTATGTGGAAACGGTTTCGAGTTTAGACCTCATTAGTAAAATTATTTAAACAATTAAAAAGCAGTAGTTTTGTGAATCATTCGGGCTTTTCTCATCGCAGCGGTTTATCTATACTAAACCACGACGACTTTATCATCTTTCAATCAACATTTGCAAAGTAAATTTTCTTTTCTCTTAGATATTGCATTGTAACTTTCACCGCCTTACTACCCATCTTCATTGATTTCATTTTCTATTTTTCTTAAGACAACAAATGCTATGGTATTAAACCACAAGAACGCGAAGACTGTGGTTACATTGGTATTCAGCGAGAGGAGTGTGAGGACGACAGAGGTTGCTGTTTTGATCACACTGTACAGGGTGTACCCTGGTGCTTCAAGGCCACTGGACCAGTGAGTGTGGCCCCACCTGAAGTAGAAACTCAGGAAGGATCTGCAGGAGCCTCCGAGGCTTAGCTTTGAATGATCAATCCTCAATTGGTCGGTTTCTTTGGCATACGGTGAAATTTTTTTTTCACTCTAATATGAAAAAGAGCCGTGGATTCAATCTCAACAATTTCTTTTTGCATCTGATCTACGCTCCGAGAGATTCGCATTTGATTGACATTCATATGATGCCGCATATGTGTTGATCAGCCTATTTTTCATGTGAGCAAAGTAAAGAGGCGAGTTTAAACTAGGCGTTAAAATTGTTGCGTTGCTGTCAGGCTACGGTAAAGCAGGTTTACTAGTAGCATGGTGCATGGCATTTTCCTAGAATATCGTTTGCGCTCTATTAAGTGTTAAAACACATGTTTTACGGGTTAAGTTTTGTTTGCACAAATTCCTACGAGTAATCTTTCACACTCTGGTTCCATATCATCTGCGGAACTTTTCTAGGCTAGGAGAAAATCTAATAAAGAATGCACTGTATGAAAGAAGAGTCTCAATTCAGCCACATTGCGTCGCACGAGACTACTAGCAAAAAAAAAATTGAATTCAAAATGACTTCCAAACCAGAACCAACAAAAGGTGAAGCAAAACAAATTAAATGCAGTTTATACGTTATTAAGGGCGAACACCATGAATAGTTCCTCTCACCACGGTGGACGCCAAATGTTTTTTTGTCCGCAAAAATCCAGTATGCCAATTTCCAGTGCGATTTGAAATTAAGCAATCTGTCTCTTCTGACAATCACATGGCGAAGATAAAAGATATCGCCTGTGTACTTTAGTACTCCCTAGAGACGGAGACTAAAGTTAGGGCTCCAAAAAATTCCAGTTTTACAAAATTCACACCTAATTTAGTCTTTCTCTGTCATCTATCGTACCCAGTGCGTTATGCGTAGTGTACCCAGCTGCTTCTCAGATAACAATAACAAACAAACAAACAAAACGCAATCAAACGTAAAAGGTGAAGTGTGTTCTGTTGAAGAGCATTGGTGTTCTTTAAAGCTATTAGCTGTTTAAGATAAAAACATACTTAACTATATGTTTCGAAGTCCGAATTGCCTTTTACTCCAAAAAAACCACAAGAACCCTGAGAATTCCATGTTACTGATGAAGTATCCTTACTACCATTTCTATATCCTTCTGTGACTTAAATTTTAAAAGCCCGAAGGGTTACGTGCAACTGCCGAAGTAAAATTGTTCTCAATTTCATCCACTTGAACAAAATCGCTGTGAAAACCCAACATCACGTCAATGTTCTACAACGAAATAATAAATTTACAGGAGAAAACCGCTACATTTTCGAGGGTGCGTCAGCTAATAGTTAAGTGTTAATGATCAAAGTACGGTTACTTCTCTAAAATTGGTTTTCATTTGATAGGTTTAGAGAAACCCTTCTTTAAAATAACTTCTTCCCCACGATATTTTTATTCGGACTGGCTAAAATAGGGTACGAGAGCATGGAAAGATATAAAAACTTGCTGTGGTTTCGGCGGACTTCTAGAATAGCCGGCAAACAAATTGCGCGCACTTTCGAAAATTCGATTTAACAATGGACTTGGGACGGTCTCAAAAATAAACGAAATTCATGTACGGCCAATTTATGTTTGACAAGTGATTTGAGTCTACAAAAGCTTTTTTATGACTTGCAATAGGATAAAACATCATTAAGTAAAGAAAAATCTTCATCTTCATAGTGAAAAACAGAAGTTTTCTTTCCCTTTCTCATTAATTGATTGATAAACAAAACAATAGGTAGCCTCATGAGAACTGAGAGTCAGCTTTTCGTCGGCTCTGTTTTTCTAGATGAAGATGATTTTTCCTTACCTAGTGGTGTTTGCATATTTCAGGTTATGGCGGTAGTGTTAAAGCAGGTGTCTAACAAGAAAAATTCAGTGAAAAAAAAAAAACGCTAAAAACAAAACGTATGTGCTTTGTTCTTATAAAGGGTTGATCTAAATATGCGAAACAAAACAAAACCTCAAACTACAATTTTGGGAAAAGACGAGCTCAGCAATTTGTGCTCTTTTTGATAATCGGTGTTATTAAAAACGGGCGTTTGAGCGCTGAAGCGAATTTCGCTCATAAAAAAAAAATTATTTTACTATATTGGAAAAAACAAAGGTGATTTAGATTACTTTTAGACTAAAGTAGGGTCCTGGGCGAAGTTTGAAAGAAATCGATTTTTCGACCCGAAACCCACCGGATCTCTGTTAGGAAGACTGCGCCTAATACTCAGCAACTAAAGGAGGCGAGCTCACTAGCAGGAACGTCGACATAAAAATGTTATCCACGCTCATTCTTTTGGCACTTTTTGAAATAGGTAAGGGTAAAACCATTAAGATCTCAAGGCAAGATGTCATTTATTTGCCTTCCCATCGATAGGGTTTCGTTCACAGTATACAAATTGCTTTATGTGTCCTCTTATGGTCAACTGTTTCTGTATTAAACAGATATCTTGAACTACGGATTGTAAATGTCTTTTTCTCAACTTACTCCAATTTGAATCTTCTTTATGTCGGGTAAAACTTATGCTCACTTTACTAATGCAACTGGCTTTCGTTATCTTAACTGTTCTCTTTCTTTTTTGAATCAGGGTACAGTTTTAGAGGTAAGGAAACTCATTTTATTGTATACAGGTATTAGTCAAATCCATAACAGCTCTGAGAAATTGGCACAAAAAAGTTTCATTATACATCCAACGCTTTAGAATTCGCTTGTCACAAACGAGAATATGTAAACTTATCGTAAATATATGGCCATGTTCAACTCACATTTCTTTTGGACTTAAGCAGAGTAACTAAAGAACTTTCATTAACGTCTTGGATCTTGTTATCTGATCCAACTGATTAAATGCAATTTTTTAATGGGACGGATATGGTTGGAGCGGGAAGCTAAAAACTTGACAACAAGGTCAAAGTACACCGTGCTCAAGTACAGTTACGTTTTCGATTTTTCAAAAGTTATGACCGTTTGAATCAGCACATGTACGAGCATTCGCGATTTTTTCGCCTGCACCAAAATCGAACCACTGGAGCAGATTTCGTCATAAATACAGCTTACCCGCTTTGCAGCCCGGCTTCATGGCTCACTTCAGAATTTTTCTAATAACCAAACTGGTGAAATCCATGATAACTTCAACAAATAGCTAGGTATTGCCTTCGAAAAGTTGGCGGCATCCATCGTGATTCGTGGTATCAAAACAAATGCCGGAATTGGCCACATTTCGCGGTGAATCACCCATTTAACATCGCTGCAGAGCTGAATTTTTTCCAAAATCAGAATATAAACTCTCCATGTCAGGAAGCTGAGGGAGAAATGAAGGTTTTAGGCTTCTGAAGTGAAGAAATAATCGCTTAAATTTAGATCCAGTTCGATGTTATACTGTTCTCACAAAGGTCCGCACAAAAGAGAAGACCGCTGATAGCTTGTGCCGTACGTTGTGCCATATGGTTTTGTTTTGTATCCCAAAGTAATATTTGGGCAGAAAAATTTTGGATGAAAAGAATAAATGCTTTTACCTGGAGTTTGATATCATATAATTAATAAATCAATTTAAAATATCCTGAGCTTGCTTCTCTCGGTTCCGCGTCGATTGTGTCCACAGAACAGCAGATGTTATAAGTGTTGCTTTTGGTAAATTTTCAATCGATTTCATCAAAACATTTCACTGACTACTAGATATTATAATATATTACACTATAACAACGCCGTCAGAACTTGATATCGGAAGTAAAGGTAGTTTGTATCTGTAGAGCATATTCTACACTTTCAGCCACCGTATAAGACATTGTTTACATAAGTCTACTGAGAAACACACTGACAATCACTAATCACGTCCGACAATTTGTCTATGAGGATCTGTTTTTTGTCTCTCAATTTTACAGGGATCTCAAAATGACTACAGATGGCTCTCAACAAAACCACATTGAATTTCTGAAGTGTGTTATTGTGGTAACGTTCACAGAGGTCCTACGTATCGTAGCAGATTGGATGTGAGACTTTGATCTCTTTGTTAACTTTGTCTACCAGATCTTATCTCTCGGAATTTTCCTGGACGCATTGGATATCTTCCTCCTCATCCAGTGATATCCCGATCACACCCTGATCTTTTCGCCGCATTGCTGCTAGCCGGGAGAAAAAGCTCTGAACTTGGTTCTTTGTCAGCTACTGTCCTCTAGTGAACAAACGTGCATTTGATTCATTTTTCGCATTTCGCATGTCCACTGCAACTTGGGCGGGGTCGGCCTTTCGCCCATTTCTTCCTCCAAGTGTAAACCGTGCCGTTAGGTATTCTTTTACCTTCTCTGAAAATCTAACGCTGCCCCTTGGTTTGCTTACGGCCCATCCTGTTCGTAAAGACGAGTGGGGCGAAGTATCCACGAGAGAAGTGAGTGGTGTACTAGAATCTAACGAACAGCTCGAACACTCGATACCAGCGGTATCTATCGACGAGAACTTAAGGGCCCAGTCCCTTTTGATTGCATCATACTGGCTTTAACCGGCTGACTGTATGCTTTCCAACGTCCAGGTGCAGCTCCAGCTGCGAAAAGGTTTCGAACACTTCAACATATCCAAACACAGAGCATTCTAACAATGGCGTTGTACTCTCTGTTTCCTTAATGCCCTTTGAACGCGCTTGACCACACGCTTTTCAGGAGGATCATAAAACCCTTGAGATTCTATGGTTTGAAGGGACGTTTGACCTTGGTGCTTGATATAAATTACGTCATATGGAATGTACTTCCCTTTACCGATGCCATAACATTTCCAAACTCTCAGACCGATATCTCCATATTCCAATCGAAGTTGTGGAAGCTACTAAAATGTTCGATCTTATTTATACAGAGTGTTCTTTGATTCGTCTACTATTCTTACTGCAGCTGTTGTTCCCTTCACTGGGTGTTTCGTCAATGCGTATCCTCTGTCCAATGAAAGCTTTAACAACCTCGCTGAAGACTCGCTACAGACTGAAGCCTCTCTGGTTTCGAAAAAGCACTTGCATGCCATACTACACTTGCAGGCCTTCCAAAAAAAATAAAGGGTTAGCGGGTTCACCCGCAATGATTAATGCGGACCTCTGTTATACGCGATAGTACAATCGTTCAGCTTTAAATTCCAAAACGCCAAACTTCGACACATAGACTTACAAGTGGAGTTCTATTACTGATTCTTGAAGAGAATGCAGCTGCAATCCAAAGTTTCAAAGGGACATTGAGCGCGAAACATGGCTTTAGTTTTCGAGTTTAGTTCGCAACAACGAGTCAAAGAAGAGTATCGACAGATGCCGACCGCTTAATTTTGGAGGTATTTGCTGGAGTTATCATAAAGTCCAGTTCACCAGTTTGGGAAGCAAGGAATATCTGAAATTTCACATAAAGCCATGATTTCTCCGGCTATTGACATGTTGCTGTTCTGTGGACACAATCGACGCGGAACCGAGAGAAGCAAGCTCGGGATATTTTAAATTGATTTATTAATTATATGATATCAAACTCCAGGTAAAAGCATTTATTCTTTTCATCCAAAATTTTTCTGCTCAAATATTACTTTGGGATACAAAACAAAACCATATGGCACAACGTGCGGCACAAGCTATCAGCGGTCTTCTCTTTTGTGCGGACCTTTGTGAGAACAGTATAACATCGAACTGGATCTAAATTTAAGCGATTATTTCTTCACTTCAGAAGCCTAAAACCTTCATTTCTCCCTCAACTTCCAGACATGGTGAGTTTATATTCTGATTTTGGAAAAAATTCAGCTCTGCAGCGATGTTAAATGGGTGATTCACCGCGAAATGTGGCCAATTCCGGCATTTGTTTTGATACCACGAATCACGATGGATGCCGCCAACTTTTCGAAGGCAATACCTAGCTATTTGTTGAAGTTATCATGGATTTCACCAGTTTGGTTATTAGAAAAATTCTGAAGTGAGCCATGCAGCCGGGCTGCAAAGCGGGTAAGCTGTATTTATGACGAAATCTGCTCCAGTGGTTCGATTTTGGTGTAGGCGAAAAAATCGCGAATGCTCGTACATGTGCTGATTCAAACGGTCATAACTTTTGAAAAATCGAAAACGTGCAGGGGTTTTTGCATATTTTTGCCTATAAAGGTCTAAACTTAACGGCTGTGTAGGATAGAATCGTCAACCAGGTCCCAAATCCCAAAACTTAGCGTCTAAATCAAGGTTATTTACGGCCATCGGCCGATGGCGATTTCTAGTGGTCAGAATATGCTAAAATTCGCCTTTTCAAATTTGTTGAGAGGGCAAATTCTAACTTTCTTGGCAAACTAGAAAGGTTTTTAAGCAATCTGATATAAATTCTGTGGCTTAACTATGCGAATCAAATATTTTACAACGTTACAAAATATGCCTATTTTTCAATTTTCGAGACGTTGCGACGGTCCCTACGGACTGGGAAATAATTATGGCCCGTAATGCAGTCAGGAAATTATTTCGAATCAAACCAAATCTAATTTAGTTCTTTCCTAGGTAAAGTCTCTCTGTTAACAGAGTTTCAGGCAAAATTATTTTTGACGCAAAATTGACCGGTTGGAAATAAGAGAGACAGCCTCTTAAGAGCTCGAGACAACAGCACGTTTTAAAGCACAATTTAAAGAAGTTCAATCTTTTCACTTTTACTTTTGCAACACAACCAGCTTAAATTGTAATGGCCTCTACAGTAGATAATGGTTCGCTAAACTGACCAATTACAGCGCGAGTTGTTGGTTAGAGAAAGAAAAGGAAAGTTCGTTACCTGTATAACAATCCTCGGTTTGCTTTGTCTGTATTGTTCCCTTAAAGATGGCCACTGTGATGATATTAACCCTCATGAGCGGTTAGACTGCAACTTTCATGGTATTACAAAGCAACAGTGCGTTGACCGACAATGTTGCTATGACAACAGCGATCAAGGCGCGCCCTAGTGTTTCAAAAGTAGAAAAGATCTCGGTGAGTGGAAACTACCTTTTACTTATGATACAATATACGGCTGAATTATACATTTCACCAGAATTCTTAATAACACCCATTAAACAGGAGTGGAAACCTTTGAAGTACTCTAAACGCGATGAAACTTTGGCGAGATCGAAGTTAAAAAAATGCTCAGGATGCGAAATAAAAGGCATTGGAGTGTTCAATTGAAAGGCGTGGCGACGTTTCCCGCAATATCAACTGCTTCGAGAAACAATCTCCTTCTCAGCTGCCAAAAAACAAAAAGTATAAGATAAACGCTCAATCTCAAATCGTCTAATCAAAGCTACTGTCTCGGGTAATAAACGAAACTTAAAAAAATTTTGGCAGATAACAAATTTCAGTCCATTGCTGTCCACAAACGTGCCAAATGTGCATGGATTGGAATAACTAAAGTAGTTAGCCAAAAGAGAGAGTGCTGTTATGATGACCGTGGATATAAAAGGGAATCAAAATACTGCTTTTATCCCAGGGGGTATAAGTATTCATTTCATCTCCTAATTGTCCCAGAACTAAACTATTCAGAATCAAGCCTCCTTCCCAACCTACAAAGCTTAAGTTCTGGGATTGTCCGAAGAGATCGAGCTAAACGATTAGTAACCTTGGGTTACATCTAATAAGGGTCTCACGTCGTTAAAATAGCCATATTATATTAATATTGATGGTTAATAAGCCAACAATTCCAAGCTAATGACCATAGCATCACAAGCTTACATGATACAAGGTAACTGATACAAAGGTATAACGAGTATTTTTGTAAGTCGGTACAAAAGACACACATGGTGGTACACTTAGTTTAGCCATTAATTTTTTAACACTATAATCTGTCTTTTCCTTTCAGCTTTCTTTTTTGTAAATTTGTAGATGCGTATGACGGTCTGATCGACTCCCTACTCAACGACGAATAAGTTACGGTTGAAAAGAAGTTGAACCGTATCATTTAATAACGCTGTGGCCTCAGTAAAAATAAAGTAGGACGCCTGAAGAGTAGTTTTGGTAGAATAAGTATAGGAAATCGTATGAACGCGAGTGCATTTCGTGATTTATGGGCACGAGTGATGTTTTTAAAGTTCTCAAAATTGCACGAGCCGTAGGCGAGTGCAATTTGAGAACTTTCAAAACATCACGAGTGACCATAAATCACGGAATGCACGAGTAGGTTCATACGATTTTTTATTTATTATATTCTCGACAAAATTACTCCATCGCGCTACTCTGTTCGTGCTCGTATTCTTCCATTTTTGGGTTTACTTTTCGTTGAGTCGCCCATGTTTGCCAGACATTTAACCAGGTCTGTGTAGCTTTCAACGTGTTTTTGTTTTTCGCATTTTCTTTAAGTTGCTCAACGATGTTTTGGTTTGACAAAGCAAACCGGCTGTCAGCCATTTTTTTATAATTTGGTGTTCAAATTTGGCGCTTCCCCGGTGTTTCCATGGCAACTTCTCCGTATTGCACTCTATAACCTCTATTGCACTCTATAACCTATTTATGCATTCTTCATTGACCAATCAGAAACGCGATATTTTGTTGAGTATATAATAAAGGGGCTTATTTTGAGGCGGGTTTTGAAGTAGTGCTAGAGATAATTACAAGCCATGTTAAACTTGTGGCATCAAATACATTCGAACGAAGACAAGAAATTGGAATAACACGATATCGATAACCTTGATTTTTAAATGGAAGTCACCTGTCAAAGTTAATCGTTTGTTTGCATTACGACTGTAGGGAAAACCGTCCTTAGCTCCTCAACGGCGCATTAAAGGGAAGGAAGATGGCTTATTTCAGTTCAAAGTGAAACTCCTGAACACAACATCCCTACGTTACTCTCTGAGAACTGGAGGTTAGATTCGGAGCATGCTGGTGGTATCGACATCTCGTTTTAACGGAGGAAATTATCCAAATCACTCACTACGCTATTTCTAAATATGCTCACCAGCATCGAAATTACGATAAGCTCAATTAACGGCATTAAGTCACCTATTTGAGCCATAGGTAGCGTCAACAACTCTCTTCAGATGCATGACACAAACACAACAAACAATTCCAATCCATAACATCACTGTTTTTCTGCTCATCAAAGACACTTCTCGGATCAGAAACTATTTCCATGACTTTAAAATAGAAACAGAATGCGAAGATATTCTTTCCTGATTCACAAAAAGCTCCACTGCAAAACTCTATAAAAAGTAACAAAACATCACCCCGTTTGAAACGAAAGATGGTTCGAGAGAACGTTGCTGAGCGTCAAGACTAAGGGTGCGTTCCTTTGAGAGAATACGGATCAGGATTTCTGATCTGTGGCGTTCCTTTCGAGCAAATCCATTTTCAGATCAGTGATCTATCAAATCCACTCTGAAAAACGATTCATCGCATCACTGATCTGCGTGATCTAAAGTCGGATCATTGGATCACTGATCCAACGCGTTCCTTTGGGCGAAGGATCCGAAATTAATCATTTTGCCCAGCGGTGCTCAATTTCAAATAAGTAGGTACTTCATATATTGACCGGAAAGATTGTTGGCAATCGCTCCGCAAATTCTGCGATAAACACGAAATAAAATCGATTTTGTAATTTTAAATCGATTGGCCACTGATCGCAGGCATTCAGGGCTCCCAAGTATCCATATCGTAATTAATACTCGCTTCTGTTTTAATTCCATCGTTTGAGTTTACCATGAAAAAATGTGCTTTTAATAAATAGTGCAGGCTAAAAGCAGTTAGACGAGCCATTCAGGGAAGAGCTCAATAACCCACGTGCGTACTCCTGAAGGAACGCACCCTAAAACTCTGTTCCTTTTATGCACCGTGATTTGTGTGATCTTGGATCACAAATCAAAATTCGGATCCTCTCAAAGGAACGCACCCTAACATGCATGAACAACCCCATTGGAAAATTTGTTTTGAACTTACTAGTATTAGTGTTGTATCAAGAAAACATACATCGACTAAAAGCGATAGTTAACGTTGCCAGGGAGCGAAAAGAACTTTCCAACGATGACGTGGGTGTCTCATGACGCATGACAAGTTCGATTCTTCTTTTGTTATTCAAAAATAAGTCTGAAAATTATAGAAGTAAACAAGGGTAAAAAATTGACACTATGTTCACTACTTAATAGTAACATTTTTTTCGTTTTGGAATTAATTGTGCCATTCTATTTATTACTCATTTCTTCTCTCTAAAAAGCTTCTTTTTCTAAAACGTCTAGGATATTTCGATATTTTTAGAAATCGGAAAAACAAGCTCGAAACTGACCCAATGTTTACTGCTAAGTGTTGAAAAGACTTTGTTATGTTTTGATTGCTTGGAAACCCATGAGAGCCAGACTGCACCTTTACGTATTTGTAAGGAATCATTAGCATGGCTTGACCGCAAACAACAGTGTATAAAATACTGGTAGGTTCTTTAATTTGGTTCGTATCAAGGCACCTAGACTGAAAATAAACTGCCAGGGGCAAGTTGAATAGCGATTTAGGCACCAAATTTAGCAAAATATGACGTCAGCTTTGCTCTTTTTTTACTGATCGTGTGATATTGACTTTCAGCTTTTGATATTATTGGTCAGTTCTAATTTATGACAATCAGTTCAGTATTTCAGTGATTCGTAGTCATTGCACTCAATTAGATTTAGAAATGATTGAGAGAATGCGTGACAACATAACATTATAATAATTATAATAATTAACGCAAGTTCAATTTTAAAGTAGTGATAACTTCCACGCATACATAAATTACACGCAGCCTCGTTTAAACTACCATAGTTACATTTCACAACAAAATATGTAAAAATAAACTGTAATGTCTAGACTTGTATAAGGTCACCAGAAATGGATTTCATATGTTATTGCTTTGGTGAGGCGACGTTTCGAACTAATCGTATTATACATCATTTTTTCGGTTAGCCTTGCTTACTACGATAGAGAGGGAGGAAGAGGGACGAAAGTTTTGCAGATCGTGATAACAGAAATTGGAAAACATTCCAAGATAAGCGCATTTAAGAAAAACGTTTTTGATGAAATTACTACCAGTGACACAACTGTAATTCACTAAAGAGTTCTACATCTGCAGGTATCAATGCAGGTATTAGTGTATTTGCAGAAAGTCATTGGTATTCAACTTGTCTATTGACACTTGAAATTGCTCTTTAACAAAGAGCTTTGATTACGAAATTATACACATTGCAGATATTTGAATCATCGTGCACTGTATTCTGGTTTAAACTATCCATATTTATGGTAAAAGTCTATGACACTTCCAAGGATTAAGGTTTCATTAATCTCCAAAGCAAACTACGATGTCCTATGGCAAAATTTTTAAGTGACCGATAAAGTGAAATAATCAGTATTCATCACATCATGTAAAATAACATTCTCATTGTTCTACTCTATATGACTTGCCTGGGGGCTTGAAAAAGTTCCGCTTTCTAGAAAACAAGTTGGCAGTGTCTTTAAATGGAAAGAACTTTTTTCCTTTTTCCGCTTTGAAACAATTTATCACCCCGGGCTGTATTTATATATATATATCCAGAGGTCAAGGAAAATTTGTTATCAACAAGACTGTTTTCCATTTGAAATTAAAATTTCCAAGATATTTGACCAACAATGATGGAGCAAACGAGAAGCTCGATGACACGATTGAATGCCAATATGTGCGCTTTCATTTCATTTAATTTCGAGTAATTAGCTGTTCGATTTAAAGTAAAAGACTGCATCACTTGAATTTCCAACATACTCAACATGACTGTGTTTAATTATAGTCTCTTTCCAAGGCTGCAGAGGGCTAACAGCACGTCATGATAATTTGTTCTCAAACTTTCCATTTTATCGAGATATCTTTAGTCTGTGAGATGTCCCATGCTTATGTACAGTTGCACTCTTAAGCAGAGTCCCAAAGAAACTGTGGTTGAAAAAGGGAGTATTCTTGAGCTGATGTGCAGAGAAAACAATACTATAAAGCAGGAGGTGTTCAGGCACATCACCGTGTTTAAAACATTTTTCCCGTTAGCAATCCAACTAGAACAAATTATTAAAATTGGTTTAAAGTCCACACAAAAGCCAAACAAAGAGAGAGTCCAAAAACTCTCTTCAAAGAGAATGCCGACAGCGCCAACGGTGTTAGGAATGGCACGCAAGTTGAAAAGCGTAGCAGGGAGTTTCTACTTTTAGTCTTTAGTAAATGGTCAGCATCCTTGCTATTTGACAAATAACCTAGCTTGTTCCTAAGCAAAAGACGACAGCAGGCGGGTGGAAGTGTTCTAGCAGTGACTCATTTCAAATACGAGCCCTGCAGCTATTTTTGTGTAGCTGTGTTTAACATAATTGCAATGTCAAAGGGTTCCTGTTCTAGGGGTTTAGGACGAAAAGAGCGAACAAAGTAATTTTCTATGCAAATGAAATTGAAGAAGTGTGTACGACTGCTTTATGGATAGAGCGACGGAATTAGAGTCATTACCATCTGGAGTAGCTTTGCATGTTTCCGAATCCCTTTCGAGCTTTTTGAAGAATGTAATCACCAATGGTCTGAGCAATAACTTTTCTGGAAGATTCCAGACAAGAAGTTGTTTGGAGACTATGTTGAAGCACTCCTCTATAAAGGTTCTATGATAGTATGCATTTTTTGAAAAGATAATTTTAACATTCCCAGTCTGTCCCTCCACTTTAAGCTATTGCATTCGTCATGCACCACTGGTGGTATTTCTCTCTTCGTCATTTTCTTTAATGTGGTCCCTTCCTGGCAGCTCACGACAACAGAGTGAGTAAATATCTTCTGGGAAATGAAAAACCGACAAGAAATTCGAACGAACGAGACATTACAAGACAAAGTGCAAAAGTTGAAAGCAACAGACCAACTAAAAGCTGGAGCGAAAATTGCGTAATGCGGTTCACTCAAACTTAGGGTAATTTAAAATTG